CTTTCATTTTTACTACTTCCAGTTTTCCTACATTCATACTTCTTAACATCCCACGTTCTCATTATTTACAGATGTTGCAGCTGTTTCTTATCATTTTGAGTCATGTCCCATCAGCAAATAAAGGGCCTAAAAGTTTTGCTCCATCCATGTCTTTCCTTTGAGGGGGCAGCCAGTCATATTTTGAGTACCTTCCAATCTGAGGGGCTCATCTTCTGGCGCTATAACAAACAATATTCTGCTGCTGTTCATAAGATTTTTCAGTGGCTTCTGTAGCTCTTAGACTTCCCTATGAAACATGCATTCAGTTTTGTCATTATGAGTGTAACTATCGTATCCTATCCCTCCAGCAAGAAACTTAGTGGATCCTTAAGATAAGCACTAGACTGCAAACCACAGTGTCGGTGGTTCAAGCCAACCAGTTGCTCTGCAGAAGAAAGGTGAGGCTTTTCTGCCTCAGAAACCCTATATAGGGTCACTATCAGTTGGAACTCTTTTGTTGGCAACAACAAATAAACTCCTGGTGCTGTAGGATCGCAAGGTCAGCAATTCAAACTCACCAGATGCTCCGTGGAAACCCACCCTGTACAGTATTGCTACGAGTCAAAACCAACTTGACTGCACTTAACAGCAACAACAACAACAACCCCTACCAAAATACTCTTCATATTGCTATCTTTAAGTCTTGTGAGGGCACGAGCAGCATCTATCTTTTGTTTTGTTTTTGATAACATTTCCAATACCTAACATAGTCCTGAGATCAGCACTCAATACGTTTTTGGTGTATAAGCAAAATATAATGTATGGCTATTGTCCACAATTCTTATACAGTAGGTTATTTGGACCTTTTTGATTTATTTCTATAGTTTTAACTCCTTCCTTGTAGCTCTCTAGCATAGATTACTATATAAATGAAAATATAAACGTAAACAGCAAAAAAAACTTGTATTTTTTGGGTCTTAGTTTCTTAGTGTTGCCATAACAAAAAATACCACGAATGGGTGGCTTCAAAGAACAGAAATTTATTTTCTCACAGTTCTTGAAGCTTGACATCCAAATTCAAGGCATCTGGCTCTAGTTGGACTAATGTCCTTCTTGGTCTCTTTTAGCTTCTAGTAGCTGCCAACAATCCTTGCCGTCACCATTCCTGGCTTTTAGATTCCTCAGTCTCCATCTTCACCTCTTGACACCGCCTGTATGGGGTCTGTAAACTGTTACTATAGAGTCAATTCCAATTCTCAGCGACCCTATATATAGGACAGGGTAGAGGTGCCCCAGAGGATTTCCAAGGCTGTAATCACTCTGGTAGCATATAGTGGTTACGAATTGGGCTGTGAACCTTAAGGTCAGCAGTTCGAAACTACCAGCTGTTCCTTGGGAGAAAGATAAGGCTTTCTGCTCCCGTAAAGATTTACAGCCTCAGAAACCCTGTACAGGGTTGCTATGAGTCGGAACTAACTCCACAGCACGTAACAACAACAAATCATTAAGGATGTGGCATTGTAGGATAAGCTCAACTCAGCAGCACTTGATAACAATACCAATGGTTATGGAAGCAGACTGCCACATCTTTCTCCCTCAAAGATGGTGGGTTCAGACAACCAAGAAATCCATCAGCATCCAAGCACTTAACCACTACACCACCAGTGTTCTCCTTTATAAAACTCTAATCAGAGGGAATTAGGTTTAGGGTCTGCCCTACTATGGTGGTTATGTACCTGTGGAGTAGGTTCCAACTCCTAGTAACCCTGTACAGGGTTTCTGAGGCTGTAAATCTTTACGGGAGCTGAAAACCTCATCTTTCTCCCGCGGAACAGCTGGTAGTTTTGAACTGCTGACCTTGCGGTTCAGTTTGCAACCAGATTCAGAGCCACTACACTACCAGCTGCTTCGCGGGAGAAAGATGAGGCTTTCTACTCCCGTAAAGATTTACACCCTCGGAAACCCTGTACAGGGTCGCTACGGGTCAGAACTGACTCGATGGCACTTAACAACAACAACAACTCTACCAGAGGTCCTTGCCCTACTAGAGTATGGCCTCATTAGCATATCAAAAGACAGTTAGTGTATGGCCTCATTAGCATATCAAAAGATAAACCATGTTTCTGATTGCATTCACAGATAGAACAATATTTTTTGTTGTTAGTTGTTGTAGTCAGTTCTGACGCTTAGCAAACCCATCTGTGCAGAGTACAACTTCATAGAATTTTCAGAAGCATATCATCTGGCCTTACTTCTGCAATACCTCTAGGTGGATTTGACCCCCAACCTTTTTGATAGTAGCCAGCATTTAACCCAGATTGCCTAAAAGTATATGTTGGAGGCAACAATTCCATTCCTAACAGTGGATTTTAATAGTGCCTTCTGAAAGAACCCTGCAGGTTGTTGAAGTGTAAAATGTAAGGGTCCTTTAAGTCATAATGTTGTTGTTGTTATGTGCCATCGAGTCGATTCCGACCCATAGCGACCCTGTATAGGGTTTCCGAGGGTGTAAATCTTTACGGGAGTAGAAAGCCTCATCTTTCTCCCGCGGAGCAGCTGGTAGTTTCGAACCGCTGACCTTAAGGGTCGCAGCCCGATTCGTAACCACTACGTAATAGTACTTGTTAAGTGCCTCTAGTCAGTTCCAACTCATAACAACTCTGTATAGGGTTTCCAAGGAGGAGTGGCTGGTGGGTTTGAACCACCAACCTTGCAGTTAGCAGTCCAGGGCTTATCCTACAGTTCCACACCAGAACTACAGTTTAGAACTAGTAAGAGCCCTTGTGTGGTACTGTAGGATGAGCACTGGGCTGGTAACTGCAAGGTCAGCTGTTCAGATAACTGCAAGGTCAGCAGTTCAGACCCACCAGTCACTCTTGGAAACCCTATTCAGAGTTGCTATGAGTTGGAGCTGACTGGACAGCACTTAACAAGAACTGGTGCTTAACAACAAAAACAGTTCTAAAATAAGTGTTGACAAGTGATTAACTTGTTTGGGACATTGTATTGACAGAGTCATCGGTCTCATTAGTGTATTGTTGTTAGGAGCTGTCAAGTTAGTTCCGACTCATAGCGAACAGATACACAAGAGAACAAAACACTGCCTGGTCCTGCGCCATCCTCACAATTCTTATGTTTGAACACATTGCTCCTGCTACTGCCTCAGTCCATTTTGTTGGTAGTCTTCATCTTTTTCAGTGACCCTCATTTGTGTATGTTGTTGGTAAGTACTTTCGAATCAATTCCGACTCATAGCAACCCTGGATAGGGTTTACAAGGAGCAGTTGGTGAGTTTGAACTGCTGACTTTGAAGTTAGTAACCTAGTGCTTAGCCTACAGCACCACACCAGGACTCTAATTTGTGTTGTTGGTGGTGGTGATGTTTAGGTGCTGTGGAGCTGGTTCCGACTCATAGCAACCCTCTCTATAGGGTATCTGAGGCTATAAATCTTTACGGAGCACAAAACCTCATTTTTCTCCCGTGGAACTGCTGACCTTGAGATTATAGCAGCCCAATTCGTAACCTCTTTGCTACCAGAGCTCCTTGTTGTTAAGTACTGTCAAGTTGGTTCTGACTCATAACAACTCTGTATAGGGTTTCCGAGGCTTTAAATCTCTGCAGGAGCAGAAAGCCTCATCTTTCTCCCACCTAATTTGTGTATAGAGATTCATTAAGAAGTATTGTTAAGTGCATCGCTTTAGTGGGGACTCATAGTGGCCCTATATAGGGTTTCTGAGGAGCCACTGGTGGATCTGAAACATCAACCTCGCAGTGCAAGCTGACCTTGTGAAACAGTGCTTATACTTCAGTGCCCGACCAGTACTCCCATCAGAAGTATTGTTATTGTTAGGTGCCATCAAGTCTGTACCAACCTATAGGGACTTTATGCACAGCAGAACGGAACACTGCCCAATCCTGGGCCAACCTCACTACTGTTGCCATGCTTGAGTCCATTGATGCTGCCACTTCGCCAATCCATCTCGCTGGGGGAGCACTGGGTTTTTTGAGAAAGTGGATAGATCTTTGCAAATTTATCACCATACTCCAAGGAATATTACATTGATGATGCTTTATATTATTGTGAATATATACTTAATATGTATGCTTAAATCACACCTTTAAATATTTACAATGTGGAGTCCCTAGTGTGACACTATGAGTTAATGTGCTGGACTGCAAAGTCAGTTTGAATCGCAAGGTCAGCGGTTCAAGCTCACCAACTATTCCTCAGAAACCCCTATATAGGGTCGCTATTGGGTCAGAACTAACTCAACGGCACTTAACAACAACAGATTATATTTTAAGATGGGATTTTTATCATACTTTAAGACAAAAAGCAATATGGGAAAATAAAAAAGGAAGCTATAAAGATTGGTTTTTAAAAAGCGAAAAAAAGAACCTAAGCCTTTTAAGTTTTCTTTACCATAAGGTGGGCAGATAGCTAGGTGGCAGGCAGGGGACTGAAAAGGATTTGGCTTCTCTAGACTTTACTTTTTTCATCTTTAAAAAGAGAACAATGAACCTCATAATCTCAAAGATGTTTTAGAGTCTAAATTCTGTTGCTCCATAAAGTGGAAGAGAATGATAAAGGTGTCAATTGTAACTTGTTTTTTATTCTTCACGTAGCCTCAGATCTGCCTTGATATAAGACCTGACTTAGAAAGTTTATTCAAATGTAATGTGTTTTATTCTTATTATTAGACAAATTTATTATAAATTTAATAATTTATAATATTAAATTTATAATAAAGAGGCAGAAATTAGGAAAAAAATCACTTGTTTTAATTAAATTATTAATTTCCTGGACAGCAAAGTCAGTTTAAATCACAAGATCACCAGTTGCTCCTCAGAAACCCTATGCAGTGTCTCTCTGAGTTGGATCCAACTTGTGGGCACTTAAAAACAACAACATCCTAATCAATTCATACTATAGAAAATAAATGTTTTTAAGTAATGCCACAAGCATATTCTCTTAATAGTTGTTTCTCAATTTAATAACTGTCTTCCTTCTTTGGTTTAGGTTTCTGCCTTGGGACAGCCACTCAGCTAATTCCTTAAAGTAGTTTTATATGTGAAACGTCTAAGCGTCCAGAACAATGCCTCCAAGACCATCATCAGGAGAACTGTGGGGCATCCACTTGATGCCCCCAAGAATCTTAGTAGAATGTTTACTACCAAATGGAATGATAGTGACTTTAGAATGCCTCCGTGAGGCTACATTAATAACCATAAAGCATGAACTATTTAAAGAGGCAAGGAAGTACCCTCTCCATCAACTTCTTCAGGATGAATCTTCTTACATTTTCGTAAGTGTTACTCAAGAAGCAGAAAGGGAAGAATTTTTTGATGAAACGAGAAGACTCTGTGATCTTCGACTTTTTCAACCCTTTTTGAAAGTAATCGAACCAGTAGGCAACCGTGAAGAAAAGATTCTCAATCGAGAAATTGGTATGATATCATTTTCAATTAAATGCCATTTTCATCCTATTTTAAATGTAAAAAAAATATGGAGCTAAATTGTTAGGCTCATTACCAAAATATTTCTGTCTAAACTATTTCTGTACTACCTATAAACTTAAAAAATATATAGAGAGAGATTTCTTAATAAAAAAAATCACTATAAATCTAAGCTATTTTTGACTAATAGGCTAAGGAACTGTTTTTAACACCTTCAAGTTATTTTATAGGGTTTTCTTTAAGAAGTATAATTTATGGGAAGTACTTTTTATGTTATCATTTTTATTGCTCTTTAAAACATAATTGACATGGATATTGTTTGCTGCCATTGACAGTTTCAGAATATATATTATATGTTTAATCACATTTGGATACTTGTCAACTCTATTATGTAGTCATCACAAATGTCTTGTAACCTGAGAAAGCTCTTTATTCTGTATAGCCTCCCAAATCTACCACATTTAACTTTCTCAATAAGAAACTTGTTTATACTGTATGATTTAACAGAATGTTATATTGTTGATAAATAATTTTTTAAGGTTTTGCTATCGGCATGCCAGTGTGTGAATTTGACATGGTTAAGGATCCAGAAGTACAGGACTTCCGAAGAAATATTCTGAATGTTTGTAAAGAAGCTGTGGATCTTAGGGATCTTAATTCACCGCATAGTAGAGCAATGTATGTCTATCCTCCAAATGTAGAATCTTCACCAGAATTGCCAAAGCACATATACAATAAATTAGATAAAGGTAAGAAAATGGTATATACTGTAATTGATTGATGTGTGAAATAATTCCATCTATACCTGTGTTTAAGGAGCTCTGGTAGCGTAGTGGTTACGAACCGGGCTGCGAACCTTAAGGTCAGCGGTTCGAAACTACCAGCTGCTCCGCGGGAGAAAGATGAGGCTTTCTACTCCCGTAAAGATTTACACCCTCGGAAACCCTGTACAGGGTCGCTATGGGTCGGACCCGACTCAACGGCACTTAACAACAACAACAACATACCTGTGTTTGGAGTCCTAATGTGACACTGGGTTAATGTGCTGAACAACAAGGTCAGTTGTTCAAGCTCACCAGTCACTCCTTGGAAACCCTATACAGGGTTGCTATGGGTCTGAACCCACTCAATGGCACTTAACAACAACAGCAACATACCTGTATTTCTGCACATGTACTTTCTTCTCAGAAATGAAAAAAATTCTTGAAGTCCAGGTCTGTTTATGCTGGCAAAATACAGTTGAGTGCAAAGTACATGGCTTGCATACAGTAAATATCTATTGACTTAATTGGATTGTGTGCTCATGGTATTAACCACCTTGGTGAAGTTGTTATAGAGCAGACTCAAAGATCCAAGTATTTTGGATACCAATGATATAGAACTGATTATCTCTTCATTAATAAAAACAAAGATAAATGGAAACAATTTATAAAATTTTGGGGAAATGCTAAACATTCTTTTTATTGTACATTCTTAATGTTAAGTGCAGTAAGTCTGATCATAATCATCTGATAATATTTAAGTTGACTTTTGAGGTTTTAATAGCAAATAATTTATAATTAAGTGAACATGAAAATATATGAATGTTTTAAAAATCATAATATCTTTATATTTTTAAAAACAGCAAAGTAAAGGCTTCAATATCAAGTTGTAGAACAGATTAAGAGAAACTTTATTAAATAAAAACTTCTGTTAGTAGATTGTGAGGAGGGCACAGGCCCAGTGTTTCAGTCTGTTGTTTACAGGGTTGCTTTGAGTCAGAACGGACTCCGTGTTAACAACAGCAGCAAAATTATGATAGCTTATTAGTATTTCAGCTATAGTATTCAAAGTAGTTTAATGCAATATAACATAAGGTCTTCATTTGAAATAATTTTATACTCAAATATACATGTTTTTTTCAAGTGTAATGCGCTTTTTTCCCCCTTCCCCCCCACCCCAACATTTTTATAGACATTTTCTATCAGGGTGACTTTTAAAAGTTCATGGAAAAATTCCATTATATTTTAATTCCATTTTTCCACTAAATTTTTGAAGCCCCCTCATGTAGAAAAAAGGAGCTCTGGTAGTGTAGTGGTTACGAATCGAGCTGCTAACCTCAGGGTCGGCAGTTCAAAACTACCAGCTGTTTCGTGGGAGAAAGATGAGGCTTTCTGCTCCTGTAAAGATTTGCAGCCTCGGAAACCCTGTGCAGGGTCTCTATGAGTCGGAACCCACTCCACAGTACAATAACAACAGCGTGTAGAAAGGAGGAAAGAATTGTATAGAATTTGCCCTCTGGCATAACTGATCTTTAAGAAAGAAAATTAGAAAATCTGTTTCCTCTTCTCCCTCCTCCGTCTTTTTTTTTCTATTGAGCCACGGAGGCTACAGTTTAGAATGGAAGTTGTGGCCCACCACTTTGGGTGTTTGCTGTAAAATAAGAGATTTAAAGATTTCCTAACTGTGCAGGGTCACTATGAGTTGGAACCAACTCCACTGTACTTAACAACAACCTGATATTTTGAGTCTTGGTGTGGCAATGTAGGGTAAGAACTGGGCTACTAACCACAAGATTGGCAGTTCAAACCCACCAACCACTGCTCATACAACAAGGTCGCTATGAGTCAGAATCAACTCAGTGGCACACAACAACAACATGATATTTACATATACTTAATTATGTTGATTTATATAGCATTTTTTACTTGGCCCTGGAAAATGTGTCTGTTTAAAAGTGAAATAGATAATGATGATTGCATTGAATAATTTTTTTTTTTTTTTTCTGTTTCAGGGCAAATAATAGTGGTAATTTGGGTGATAGTTTCTCCAAATAATGATAAGCAGAAATATACGCTGAAGATTAGCCATGACTGTGTGCCAGAACAGGTGATTGCCGAGGCAATCAGGAAAAAAACTCGCAGTATGTTGCTGTCATCTGAGCAACTGAAACTCTGTGTGTTAGAATATCAGGGCAAGTATATTTTAAAAGTGTGCGGATGTGATGAATACTTCCTAGAAAAATATCCTCTGAGTCAGTATAAAGTAAGTAACAAGTTTCAAGATTATTAATTTTTAATTTAAAAAGTAATCTAATCACATTGGAGAGTATTATTTATATTTTGAGAACGTAACTTTATGACATCTATGCAACTAATATTAGTAAACAGCATTTTAAACTTCTTTTATGCCAATCATTTGAGAGACTGAAAATGTTGATCGTAAATAAGCTCATATCAACTCTACAGGACAGAGTACAACTGCCTTGTAGAGTTTCAAAGACTATAATCTTTACCAGAGAAGAATGAAACACCTTTGTCCCGTGGAGTGACTGGTGGGTTTGAACCAGTGTCCTTTCAGGTAAAAGGCCAAGTGCTTTAACCACTGTGCTACCAGAAGTCTTTGGAAGTTATAATATACCCAAAATATGGATTCTTTCATGATAATAATTTTTCTCCTCTTCTATTAGTGGTAGTAGAATGGAATTAAAATAGACATTTTAAGTACCTATAGTCTTGCTACTATAGAGTCAATTCCAATTCTCAGCAACCCTATAGGACAGGGTAGAGCTGCCCCAGAGGATTTCCAAGGCTGTAATCACTCTGGTAGCATAGTGGTTATGAATTGGGCTGCGAACCGCAAGGTCAGCAGTTCGAAACTACCAACAGGGAGAAAGATATGAGGTTTTCTGCTCCCGTAAAGATTTACAGCCTCGGAAACCCTATTCAGGGTTGCTGTGAGTCGGAACAACTCGACGGCACTTCATAGTCTTGATAATTAAGATGAACTGTATGTGTGGTGCTGTGTGTGTGGTGCTGTAGGCTAATGGCGCTGGACTGCAATATCCTTTGAACCACAAGGTTGGTGGTTCAAGCTCACCAGCTGCTCCTGGGAACCCTATATAGTGTCGTTATGAGTCAGAAGCTACTCGACAGCACTTAACAACAACAAAGTTCTCTGTATTTATTTATTCAATAAATATTTACAAGAACCAGTTACATATGTATCAAGCATTGTGTTGGGTATTTATTTAGAATACTCCTTGCCTTCAGTGTGCTAATGTTCCCATGGGGGTTTATAAGTAAGAAAAGAGGCAACTATAATATGTATGAAAAGCAAAGATGTTAGAGGACTATGGTGTGTCTGACACAAGCCATGATATTCTCAGTAACTTCATATGCATGCAAAAGTTGGATAGTGAATAAGGAAGATAGTAGAAGAATTGATGCATTTGAGTTATGGTGTTGGAAGAAAATATTGAAAATACCATGGACTGCCAAAAGAACAAATAGGTCTGTGTTGGAAGAAGTACAGTCAGAGTGCTCCTTGGAAACCAGGATGGCCAGACTTCGCCTTTCATTCTTCAGACATAATGTCATGAGGGACCAGTCCCTGGAGAAGGATAACATGTTTGGTAAAGTGGAGGGTCGGAGAAAAAGAGGAAGCCCCCAACAAGATGAATTGGCACAGTGGTAGCATCAGTGAGGTCAGACTTAGTAACAGTTGTGAGGTTGGTGCAGGACCAGACAGTGTTTTGTTCTGTTGTGCATAGGGTCGCTATGAGTCAGTACTGACTCAGTGATACCTAACAACAACAAATAATATGTATATGATGTTGTTGTTAAGTGTCATGGAGTTGGTTCCAGCTCATAACCACCCTGTATAATTTAGATAAGCATTTGTTTGATCATTTGCCTAACCTAATTCCCAAAAGTTAGTACTTTAAATATTATAAATCTAGCAACTGTTATGAAATGTGGTCTGTTTGATTTTTTTCACCTTAGTATATAAGTTCTCTCGTAATGTCTTACTTGTTGCTTTCAAATGAAAGCTCTTATAAGAAATGGTTTCTCCACTCCACCCTTAATCTCTTACAGTATATAAGAAGCTGTATAATGCTTGGAAGGATGCCCAATTTAATGCTGATGGCTAAAGAAAGTCTCTACTCTCAACTGCCAATGGACTGTTTTACAATGCCATCTTATTCCAGACGCATTTCCACAGCTACACCATATATGAATGGAGAAACAGCTACAAAATCCCTTTGGGTTATCAACAGTGCACTCAGAATAAAAATTCTCTGTGCAACTTATGTGAATGTAAATATCCGAGACATTGACAAGGTAAGGTCAAGTATTGCATCAAAAATTAATTTGTTTAGTACTTTTTAATTAAAATTGTTTATTGAACTATATTAATAAATCTGTTGAAATATGGTATAATGTTTTCAGATGGCTTGAAAACACCTAAATCTCAGAAAATAAAAATATATGAGAGTTAGTCAAAAATTATCTGCACTCCAGTTATAGTAAAACACCTGTCCAGGTCCATGGCTGATGACAGCATTGAGCTGTCAAGAAAAGATTCTGGCAAATAAACTAATAACAGTAGATTACATGAAAAATCATTTGCAAATCAATTTGGGTTTCAAAAAGTTTCTGTGAGATGGGTACCGAAACAACTCATGGAAGATCATAAATGGAAGCATTTAGACATTTGCAAACTAAATTTGAACTGCTATGCAAAGGAAGGTAAAAAAGAAAAAAATAATTACTGGTGATGAGACATCCCTATGAGCCTGAGAGTAAATGACAGTATAGAATGGAAACAACCACAATCGCCAAACAAGAAAAAAGTTCAATAGTCAACCATCAGCTAGAAAATCGGTGCTTACAATTTTCTGGGAATATCAAGGGTCAGTACTGGAACACTATCAGAAAAAATGTTCAACAATCAATAGTACTAGTTACAGTGAGATGTTCACTGAAGAGCTGAAGCTTAATTTCAGGTTAAACACTGAGGGCTGCTATCCTTAGGGCATTGTGATTTTACATACCTCTACCCACACTGTTGACACCCTGCAAAAACTTCCTTTTGAGCTGTTAAAGCATCCTCCTTATAGTCCCGATCTAGCTCCATCAGACTTTCACCTGTTTGGTTCCCTCAAAGCAGCCCTTGGAGGATGAAGATTCCATCTCTGATGGCTCACAGCTTAGCCTAAAATATTTTTTAAGGGAGGATGAAAGCTTGTTGACAGATGGACAAAGTGTATTGAAAAACAAGATTGTGTTGAAAAATGATTTATTTGTCTTTTTCTAAAAGTTTATTAAAATAAATTCTATAGCCAAAGTATGGGTAATTTTTGACTCACCCACATATAATTAATTCTATTTGAATTTCTGTATAACTCATCTTTTATGTAGTTCACAACTGTTTAGCCATAATTCTAATATTCTAATAATTTAGATGTCCATAATTATAAGCTCTTAAATCCAAAACTTTTTAAGAATTCATTTGGCAACAAGATCTCACCAACTTGAAGTTGGGCTTTTCATAGCCTTTATATATCCTGTCTGTGAAAAGTCTTGTATTTTGTAACAGAAATATTGATGTCTTCATGAGGTATTATCCCTGCTACTAAGAGTATTAAGTCATATTTAATATGTGTGCCAATTTATCATTCTAATATATGAAGAATTTTTAATTTAAAAATCTGGTACAAAGAGTTTTACATACTATTTATATTAATTTTTAAGTCTGATGCCCCCATTGTGCTTAATGAATGAAGGTAGTAACAGATTTTGGTGGAAAGTCTATCATTATTACCTATTTTATGTATGACGAAAAGGAGAGCCAGAAACTTTTGTATCTGAAAAAATAAATTAAATTGATTCCTCATTCATGTCAGTTATATTGTTTTTATATTGCTTAATGTTTGTTTTTTTATAGTATAACATGAACACCATTCAACTGTCAGTTTGTCATACTATGGTAGCTTGCCTTGTGTGGTGCCGTGATGCGGGAAGCTATGCCCACTGGTATTTTAAATACCATCAGGGTCACCCATAGTGGACAGGTTTCAATGGAGCTTCCAGATTAAGACAAACTAGGGAGAAGGAGAGGCGGATCACTTTTGAATGGTTAACCCCAGAAAACCATATGAATAGCATCTAAACATTGTCTGATTATAGTGCCAGAAGATGAGCTCCTCAGGTTGGAAGGCACTCAAAATGCTACAAGTGAGGAGTTGTCTCCTTAGAGTTGACCTTAATGATAAAAATGAAGCAAAGCTTTTGCTGATGGGGCACAACTAAAAATGTGAGAAACAGCTGCAAATACCTGTTAATAATCAGAATGTGGAATATGCAAAATATGGATCTAAGAAAATTGGAAGTTGTCACAAATGAAATGAAATGCATAGAGATCAACATTCTAAGCATTAATGAGCTGAAACGGAGTGGTATTATCCGTTTTGACTTAACAATCATGATTTATGCTGGGAACAGCAAACTGAAGAGAATATCACATTCATCATCATAAAGAGTATTTCAAGATCTATTTTGCAGTACAGTGCTGTCTATGATAGGGTAATATCAATATGCCTATAAGAAAGACCAGTTATTACCACTTATTCAAATTTACATACCAACCACTAATGCCAATGATGATGAAATTGTGAATTCTACCAACTTCTTCTGTCTGAAATTGATCAAATGTAATTTAGATGCGCCGATAATGACTGGTGATTGGAATGCAAAAGTTGGAAACAGGTCAATAGTTGGAAAGTACAGCTTGATGGTATCTTCAGTGCTAGAGATTGTATAATAGAATTTTGCAAGGCAATAGACATTTTTATAAAAAAAATACCAAGTTTTCTATGACTTTTTTAAATGATTATACACATGGATCTCACCAGATAGAATATACAAGAATCAAAATTGACAGCGTCTATGGGGAAAGGCTATGTAGAAACTCAATAGTAGTCTTTATGAAGGAAAGAGCCCCATCTTTTTCCCACAGAGTGGTTGGTGGGTTTGAACCACCAACTTTTCAGTTGGTATCTGAGCTCTTAACCACTGTGCCACCAAGGTTCTTTTACATTTATTTATATGCATAATAGTTTTGGCTTTTTTTTTTTTTTCTTTAGATCTATGTTAGAACTGGTATCTACCATGGAGGAGAACCCTTATGTGACAATGTAAACACCCAGAGAGTACCTTGTTCCAATCCCAGGTAAGGAAATATTTCTACTTATATTTCTAAAGGTCACATTGGTGGTTATGTGCCATGGAGTTGGTTGCGATTCATAGCGACCTTGTACAGGGTTTCCGAGGCTATAAATCTTTATGGGAGCAGAAAGCCTTATTTTTCTCCTGCAGAACAGCTGGTAGTTTTGAACTGCTGACGTTGAAGTTCGCAGCCCGATTCGTAACCACCACACTTCCAGAGCTCCTTATAGGTCATATTAGTATTTACTAAAATAACAGTAAAAGTCGTGTGTTTTAAATCATTAGTTTTTCTTAAGTCATATAAATTACCACACAACTATAAAATATAAGAACTTTTCTTCTGTCATGTGAGTATCAACCACAGGATCATTTTTATTAATTCTAAGATTGTATCCAAATTATTTTTCTGATTATTCCCATTATATGAAGGATAGAGCAAAATATAGTTGCAGTTCTGTACTGATTGTTCACTATGAAATCTATAAGCTTTTCATTTTATTCTTATCTTCATTCTTTTCACATGGAGAAGTGAGAGATGTCAAACAACTCCAAAGCCAAATTTCTTTGAGGCTGTTTCCTTCAAGCCTCTCCCAAGAATAGATATTTATGGCATACCAGTAAAGAGTCTTTGGGAACAAATAAATTTATTTGTGAGGGAAAAAGTTGTTGGGAACATTTTAAATTATTACCCATTACTTAAGAAGTAGTATAATCTTAACTTCTTACCATCCTGTCATTTCTTTGCCTTTTTGTATAATAGAATCATTTGGAAATAAGACTTAACCTTATGAGTATAATAGCAATATTTTAAAGGGAGTCCTGGTGTGGTACTATAGGCACTGTAGTCCAGGATATGCACTGGACTGAAAGGTCAGTTTCAACTGCAGGGTCAGCACTTCAAACTCACAAGCTGCTCCTTGGAAATCCTATAAAGGGTCACTCTGAATCAGAACTGACTCGATGGTACTTACCAACAACTTAACAACAAAAACATCTTAAGGAAACTCAAATTAGTATTGAAAATTAACAATGAATTTCACAGGGTAGCAATAGAGCTAACGAGTGAATCCTCCAGAAATAAATGTCAGAATGAATTTAGATTGTGGTAAGAGAATCAGTTAACAGTAGAGTTAGTCCTGTTGTGGCACCGTCGGATCAGCATTGGACTGCTAACCATAGGATTTCTGTCTTGGAAACCGTATATAGGATTTCTGTGAGTCGCAGCTGACTCAGTGGCACTAAACCAACAACATAGAGTTTCCAAGGAGCTGCTGGTGGGTTTGAATAGCCAAACTTGCATTCAGCAGTCCAGTGTTTATCCTAATGCACTACATCAGAACTCTTTCTAAAGTTCTAAGAGAGGGCAGCCTTATTTACCAATAGGAAGGGAGACGGTTTCTCATCTTACAGGAACCAGAAAGTACTGTAGGTTAGAAGTTACAGTGCAGCAACAAACAACACCAAAATCTTTTACAATTTTTGTTAAAACTACAAAAGTTTATTTCATGCTCATAGTGCATGTTTATCACAAGTTGGAGATGAAGGTGATGGTGGGAGAAAATGGAAAAACAATACTTGAGGAAATTTCTGTTGTTAAGTGGCATAGAGTCAGTTCTGACTCATAATGATGGTTTATAGGGTTTCCAAGAAGCCACTGATGGGTTTGAAACCATTGACCTTACAGTCAGTTAGCTGTCCAGTGCTTACCCTACAGCACCACACCAGGACTCCACTTGAGGAAATAGTAGTCAGAAATTTTACAAATGTTGGGACTACTATAAATGCACTGGACTCCTGGTGTGGCACTGTAGGATCAGCACTGGACTGTGAACCACAAGGTCAGCGACTCAAACCCACGAGCTGCTCCTCGGAAACCCTTACAGGGTTGCTATGAGTCGGAAATGACTCAACAGCACTTAACAACAACAACATAAACACATTAATTAAAGGACTTCAACAATCCCTGAACAAAGACCCCAAAATAATATGTAGATTTATGCTAATGATTTAAAATATCAGATGTAAACTAGCTTTGCAGTAAAAGTTAAATGTATTTCATAATGTAAGATTTAAATGTTGGGATTTTAGTTTATTAAAACATGTATTTAGAATTTTTTTTTTTTCTCCAAGAATCCCCTACTTAATCTAATAGATGAAATCCCTAAGGTAGTAGCATGAGAATTTCAGTGTTATACCAATCATGTTTGGTACCTTAGGTTGACTAGTTAAAAATAAAATTATCAGACCATTTATTATTATTAGTCTTGTCCTGTTTCTAATCAAAGAAGAGAATAGAATTGTGAAGAAGGCATTAGAAAAGTTTTCAAAGTTAGTAATAGCTTATATTGGTGCTTTCACTATTGGCCAGTTAGAGTTCTCATTGCTTTACTAATGGTAGTTCCATTAATCTTAACAACCACTTTATAGCGGTAATGTTATTAATCCCATTTCTTCAGTAAGGGAGGCTTTCATACAGTGAAATAGTAGAAGCAGACTAATACTGCTGGCAGTGACTTCTGAGTCCATAAACTTAACCATTGGTATGATGTCTTTAAAAAAAAAAAATTACTGTATTTTCTCTTTACAAATATGTCCACCCAATATAGACATAATTTCACATGTAGTATTCAATAAATTGGAATCCCAGTGTGGCACGCTGGGTTAATGCGCCAGACTGCAAAGCCGTTTGAACTGCAAGGTCGATGGTTCAAGCTCACCAGCTGCTTCTTGGAAATCCTATATAGGGTCGCTATGGGTCAGAATTGACTTGACGGCATTTAACAATAATAAATTCAAGGGAATGTGTCTTAAGTATTTAAATAATTTTTAACATACAGCTTTTGTGGTGGTGGTGGTGGTAGTATGCCGTGGAGTCAGTTTCGACTCATAGTGACCCTGTACAGGGTTTCTGATGCTGTAAATCTTTACCGGAGCAGAACGCCTCATCTTTCTCCCATGGAACAGCTGGCAGTTTCGAACTGCTAACCTTGAGGTTAGCGGCCCAACCCGTAACCACTACACTACCAGAGCTCCTTGTAGTAACTTTCTGTTCTTTTCTTATTATAGATATCAGGTTATATTATATATCCCTGCTGAAGTAGTTTTACTTTCATTCTGTGTATCTGTTGGCTTAAAGGGTTCTTCTAAATTAAAACATATATAAAAGTAATTCAAAATAGTCACAATCAAATTTGATTGAAATATAGCACAAACGTACAAAAGTATACAAATCACAGTTGTACAGTTCAGTGAATTCTCACAAAGTGAGGACCTATATAACCATAATGCTGATCAAGAAATTAGAACATTTACCAACACTCTAAAAGTCTCTCCTCTTGTCCCTTCCCAATCTATTAACTTTCTCTTCTCTACAAAAATAACCACTATGCTGACCTCTAACACTATTGGTTATTTTTGCTTGATTTTGAATATTATATAGATTCATGCAATAGGTCATTATTTTGTATTCGGCTCATTTCATTCAGTATTATGCGAGTAATACTTTATCCGGGTTGTGACTACTTTGTTTTTGGTACTATATAGTACTTTATTTGTTCTACTGTTAGGTATATGGATTATTTACAGTTTACAGATATTATTGTTAAGTAATTCTACTATGAACATTCCATTCACCAATGCACACATTTCTGTGGTTTTATACCTATAGCTAGAGCTGGTAATTTTTGTAGATTATGTTTTCTAAATTAGTTGTAACAGGTTGCACCCCCAATAACGGTATATGAGATTTCCTGTTGCTACATATCCTTCCCACCCTTTGCTATCATCAGTCATTGTAGTATTAGCTATTCTCATGTATTCTCATGTAATGAGATTTCCATTAGATTTCAGTCTGTGTTTTCTGAATGACAAATGATAACTGACGACTTTTCCATATTTATTGCCCATTTGGATATGATCTTACAGTGTCCATTATAATCTGTCTCATGCTTGGTTTTTTGTTGTTGTTTTTCTTGATTGATCTTTTTTCCTTAATGATTTGTAGGAGTTGTTTCAGTACTCTAGATAAAGCTTTTATTAATTTGGTAAATTCTTTTTTTCCTTAACCTTTACATAGGTGGAATGAATGGCTGAATTATGATATATACATTCCTGATCTTCCTCGTGCTGCTCGACTTTGCCTTTCCATTTGTTCTGTTAAAGGTCGAAAGGGTGCTAAAGAGGTAAACTATTTCAAATCGAATAATAATGCTACTTACCTCTAATAACTCCTAATAATATAGCTGATTGAATTTTCTCAAGAAATGGAAATTCTTTTCTTAATTAAAAAAAAAATTGCACATCAAATATATTTTTAGGTGTTAATAAATGTATTATAGAAGACTACCTGGGAGAACTCGAGGAGTTTATGATGAGAAATACGACTTTTGGAGCATATGACGTGATTACACACAAATAACTGTTGAATGACTGCATACAAATATTTGTCATGCTTACTTTGGTTCATATTTCCAATTAATAAGGAAAATCTATGTAATTTAAAATGGGAAAAAGGAAAGGACTTGCTTATACTTTGAGAAATGAATGTGTATCTGTCGTATTCTAGTTATTATGGAATGGGTGGTTAAATTTTTCTTTCTAGGGAAGTCACATGTTTGCAATGCTTTTTATAGTGTAATCTCAAGTAGTGAATAATGCTCTTTATCTTTCAGGAACACTGTCCGTTGGCTTGGGGAAATATAAACTTGTTTGATTACACAGATACACTAGTATCTGGAAAAATGGCTCTTAATCTTTGGCCAGTACCTCATGGATTAGAAGATTTACTGAACCCTATTGGTGTTACTGGGTCAAACCCCAATAAAGTAAGTTTTTATTTCAGAACTTAATTTTTATTATAAATGAAGGTTTTTTTTTCCTTTTTCATTTCTTTTTTTTTTATGATGATCAAGCACAATGTATATGATAACTTTTCTCCCATCTCTTAGGAAACGCCATGCCTTGAGTTGGAGTTTGACTGGTTCAGCAGTGTGGTCAAGTTTCCAGATATGTCAGTGATTGAAGAGCATGCCAACTGGTCTGTGTCCCGAGAAGCAGGATTTAATTATTCCCATGCAGGACTGGTAAGGCAAATCACTGAGTTTTCTGAAGTATTAGTCATAATCAGTGGACTCTTGTGTACATTTTCTTTGTATGGGAAAGGTTCCGTGTATGTTTAGTACACTGGTGTAGGTACTATGGGTTCTGGGACAGCATTACAATATACTAAATTCTCTATTTGTTAATGCTGAACATTAATTTGTTAATGCTCTACCTCTTCTTAGTTTACTCAGAGCCCTAGCCTGCCATCATTTATTTTACAAATATTTATTGAATGCAAACTATGTATAAAGCAGTTTGATGTTGTTGTTGTTATTTGGTGCCATGGAGTCAGTTCCAACTCATAGCAACCCTGTATAGAGTGTACAAGAAGTGCCTGGTGCATTTGAACTGCCAACCTTGGCGGTTCAAGCCAACCTTGTGGTCCAGTGCTTATCCTACAGTGCTATACCAAGACTCCAAAGCAGTGTAATTGTTGTTGCTGTTAAGTGCTGTTGAGTCGGTTCTGACCCATAGCAACCCCATGTTGGATTTCCAAGGCGCAACTGGTGAACGTGAACTGCCAACCTTGCAGTTCAAACCAACTTTGCAGTCCAGCACAGTAGCTCACAGTGCCACACCAGGACTCCTGGAACTATGATTTTGTTGTTAGGTGCCATTGAGTTGGTACCAACCCATAGCAACCTTACGCACAGCAGAACGAAACACTGCCCGATCCTGGGCCAACCTCATTACTGTTGCCACGTTTGCGTCCATCAATGCTGTCACTTGGCCAATTCATCTCGTTGAGGGTCTTCCTCTTTTTCTCTGACACTCCACCTTACCAAACATAGTATCCTTCTCCAGTGATTGGTCTCTACTGACAATGTGTCCGAAGTATGAGAGATGAAGTTTGTCCATCCTGGCCTCCAAGGAGCACTCTGGGTGAACTTCTTCCAACACAGATCTGTTGGTTCTTTTGGCAGCCCATGACACTTTCAATACTCTCCTCCAACACCATAACTCAATAGCATCAATTCTGCTACGATCTTCCTTATTCACTGCCCAGCTTTTGCATGCATATAAGGTTATTGAAAATGCCATGACTTGGGTCAGGTGCACCTTAGTCCTCAAGCTGACATCTTTGCTCTTCAACACTTTAAAAAGGCCTTGTGCAGCAGAACGATGACATGCACTACTAAATAAAGTTATAGAATCAAGAGTCCTGGTGTAGCACTGTAGGATATATGTAACGCTGGATTGCTAACCACAAAGTTAGTGGTTCAAACCTACCAGCAGCAACTTGGAAACCCTATACAGGGTCACTATGAGTCGGAACCAGTTCAAAGGCTCTTCCCAACAGCAACAGTAACTCATAGCATTTGTAATATGTGGTGAAAATAAGCACATGAATACAACAGATGAAAGCACAGTAAGATTATAAATCACTGTAAGTGCCATGAAGGAAAAAAGAATAGAGTACCAAGAGAGACTAGCTGAGGGTTGGAAGTGCAAGGCTCATGTATATTGGAGTTCAGGAAATACCTCTGAGACAATAACCTTAAAGTTAAGACCAAAGTATAACCATGTTGTTGTCAAGCATATACTGAAACTTAAAGGTAGAGAAAATAGCAAATCTTTGTCATAATAATCCAGACCCTCAGAAAAGAGTATATATGAAGTTTAAATGATTGAAACAGTTTTCTTTCTTGACCATTATTTTGGAATCGCAGTATAACTGGGTTATTTTCCCAGGGCAAAGGTGTCAATACAAAAACAACAGGATATTTTTGTTCTTTAGTGTCTCTGACCCCCAGTTTCCAAATACATTATTTTTCTTTGACGTGGTTGGGGATCATAGATAGTCCAGCCAGTGAATGTATCAGCCAACAGGTTCTAAAATATGGGGCCCCAGTAACAGGCCCAGCAGCAGGGCAGGAGCATCCACAGCAACCTGTGATTCTGCACATAGGAGTGTTCTTAGTTCACAGCTGACTCAATAGCACTTAACAACAGCAGTCTTTCAATAACCATTTGGGAAAAAAGTCTGTTGGAAACTTTTATAAATTTAAGATGCATTGTGGGATCTTAGTTTTCATGTGTCTTAAAATATTTCACTGCTCATCATTCTAGGAATTATTTCATCATTACCTATTTTTCTAACTGTGCTAAAAATAAAAAAGAAGAAGAAGAAGAAATATAGAATTTCCTAGAAGGATTGTATAATAATGAAATAAATCTTCACTATTGCACCATCCTTCAGTTGTCTTATTGCGTTGTTCCCTATCTTAAATCATCTTTTCAGAGCCATAAAAGACTGGAAACACTCTCTTCTTAGTCTTTTTGTTTGTTTGTTTGTTTTTTGTTTTTAAGCCTTCATTGAAAACAGTTGAGAATTCAGAACTTTTCCTTTCCACACATAATGACAGAGAAAAGAAAATTGACAGAAGGTCTATCAATTCTTAAATCAGAGACTGATAATGGTACTCTACAATGGTGTTTCTTAGCCTCAGCACTATTGACATTTTTTGTCAAATAATTCTCTTTGTAGAGACTTATTTTGTGAATTTGGGGGTATTTAACAGCATCCCTGTCCTATACTTAAGAGACACCAGTAGCAGCACCACCACCACCCCAAGTTGTGATAACCAGAATGTCTCCAGACACTACCAAAGGTCATGGAAAAAGGGTGCTAGAGCCAAACCACTCCCAGGAGCAGCTACTCCTGGAGACAGTGATTGAGATGGGGAAAGTGACCATAAATGAAGTATCAAATGACAGTATTCTGGATGAAGTTTTTTCTAACTCAAGAATCTGTTTCTACAGACATAAAGGAAATATGATATTCAGACTCAGTCATTCATTAGGCAGGACTTCATGATATAATATTTTGTGGGGAAAACAGCCTGAACCAACTAATAGTTTTTCATATTCTTTACATCTTTTATGATGCTTGTACCCTGAAATTTGAGATACTTTCTAAGCTGGCAAATGCTGAAGGCAAATGTATATTCAAAGGAAAAGAGTAATATAGAAATAAATCCCTTAGCTTGATCATTTTGTTTGGTGTTTAAAAGTATAAAATGAAAATGTTTTACAGTTAGGAAGCCTAGAACATGGCCATCCTCTCTCAACAAAATCATGAGTCATCTTAGTTTTCAAAAGTGTTGTATGTTGACAATGCAAGTTTAAGAAGAAAAACTATAAGTAATGATAAGCCAGAAGCAATGAGATACCTGTATTTGAAATCTGGAATCTGTGTTTACAAGATAGTTGTGTTTTAAGTTCTTGCGGGACAGTTGATGAGCAAGCAGTTAGTTGCTTTGTTTTCTCCATTTTGTATGTATATATACATATATATGTGTGTGTATGTGTTGTTGTTGTTAAATGTTCTCAATGACAGAACCCTGTATAGAGTTTCCAAGGAGCGACAGGTGAGCTTGAGCCACCAACCTTGTGGTTCAGACCAACTTTGTGGTCCAGTGCATTAACCCACAGTGCCACACCAGGTGCCACATGTATCTTTAAACCCCAGAAAATGGATAAAGTTTTGATTTTACTACTTGAACTCATTGTATCAAAATGTCTAAAAAATGGGTTTTACCATCATATATTTCTTCTGCAAATTATTTTTCATTAAATTATAAATTAATAAATAATACAAAAGAATTACGAGTCCACTGGATCCAGATGATAAATAGCATTATCTACTTTTCTTGGTAAACTGAAGGTTATGTATGTCTTAGCACTTTCCTGCACTATTACAATTGCCTTTTAATAGGTCTCCCTCCTTCCCCAGAAGAGTCAAAATAATCTTTATAAAACATAATTCATGGTATTCATCTTTTAAGTAGATTTTACTAAAAATAAAACTTTTTAACTCTGACCTGCAAATTTTACATGCTCTGAACACAACCTCCCGATCTCTTGTCTGTTGCCTACTGGGCTTAAGTATCACTGCCCTGCTTCCTGTTCCTCTTTCACACCAACGCACTTTCTCCTTGGAGCCCTTGAATGAGTTTCCTGCTCCTGCAATAGTCTTTTCTTCTGATCTTAGTTAGTGTGGATGATCCCTTCACCTTCTCAGAGGTCATTTCTAAACACCCATTCTAAAGTAGCTATTAACTCATTTCCCTATCACATCACCCACAGTGATTATTTTCATATTTACTTGTTTTCCCACTAGAACAGAAGTTTTCTTAGTACCTGGTCTTTGACTATTTTTTGATGCCAAAATCAAGAAAAGGATGAACACACAGTGCTGAGTGAATATGTGCCAATAATATTTCTTCATGCTGTTGGATAAAATGAGAGCATCGAAAGCCAAGTAGCATCTATGGCAGTTTGATTTCATTTTTGTTGTTGAGTTCCACTGAGTTAATTCCAATTCACAGTGACCCCAGTGAAAGAGAAGAACTCCTCTATCAGGTGTTTTAGGCTTTATGGAAGCAGATCTTCAGATATTTCCCTCATAGATCTGCTGGATAGGTGCAAATCACCAACTTCTCAGTTAACAGTCTAACACTTAGCCATTGTACTACCAGGGCTTCATTATGCAATTAAAACACCTATATTTAAATGAATTAAATACATTATTTAGAATCGTACAAGAAATTGTTTTCCATTATTAAGTTTATATATTTTATTAGGGGTTTTGTCTCTCTTTTTTCTCCTTTATTTTTAAGTTTTAAATTAGAAAAATAACCTATAGTTATAAGCAACATGAAAGAGTTTACTTCTTGATTTCATTATCTTACATTAGTTAATTGGATAGTATAAAAGGGCTTCATCTGGAAGGTGACTTGTTCTTTACTAAACTGTAGTGTCTTCTTCCTAACTAGCCTGGAGAGTTACTATAATAACTGGTGGGTGCTGAGGTTAACCACAACCAAAGTTACTGAATTTATTCCACAAATACTGTCTTAAATTGATACTTTCCTGTCTCTGAAAATAAAGATTTAAATGAGAATAAATCATTTTGCATTTAACAAGCAACGTAAATTTTATTTAAAATTAATTTTCTCTTTTGTAGAATCCAGGGGGGTGGGGAGAGGCAGGATATGGCAAAGAGATACCATAATAAGAAATTACTTTATTTTGCAGAGTAACCGTCTAGCTAGAGACAATGAATTAAGAGAAAGTGACAAAGAACAGCTCCGAGCAATTTGTACACGAGATCCTCTATCTGAAATCACTGAACAAGAAAAAGACTTTCTATGGAGCCACAGGTATGTGTGAGATGGGGATTCTCTGTCCCTCTCTTCTATTCAGAAGAAACAACTGACTGGCTGATCCTGTCATGTTTCTCCCATAGTTATTGGAGTAAATAAAGCATAGTTTACTTTTTTTAAACTATAGAATAAAGACTGATATTTTTAGAAAGTCATGCTACATTGGTATTTACCTTAAACATTGAAGGCACTTGTGGAAAATTCTGATAGGGTTTTCTGGAGATGTGCTTTTTTAATATATTAAGATTTTAATTTAAAAATTCAAGAACTGCCCCCCCATAAAAAGTATCATAAAAGTAGTTTCAGATCAATTTAGTTGTGACTTAATCTGTATATTACTGTACTAACATTTTTAAGTAGTTCCTTTTCATTTTTCCTTTTTTCTTACACATCCTCAAAGTAATAGTCCAGTTTTATAAGGTCATTAACCTGTACTTGTAAGTGTCCACTAGTATACCTAAGTGAAGCAATTGTAGTGCATTTCTGCAGACAGTACATTGTAAACGTAATTTTGTCCAGTGACCACAATAGAACTGGTGACACTACTTGGGGTTCATGTTGTATACATAGGTAAATAGCATGAGTTGTATAAAGAGTGATATAAAATATATTCATAATTTTTCAGAACTACCAACAGAATTTTCCTAAGTACCATCCTGTAGTATTTGGATTTTCCCTTTGATATCTTTGGTATTATAACTGTGTCTAACTATATGTTGTTGTTGTCGTTGTTATGTGCCGTGGAGTCGGTTCTGACTCACAGCAACCCTGCACAGGGTTTCTGAGGCTGTAAATCCTTGCAGGAGCAGAAAACCTCATCTTTCTCCCACGGAATAGCTGGTGGTTTCGAACTGCTGACCCTGACGTTAGCAGCTCAATTCATAACCACTGCATAGCGAAGTGTCAGGGTCATTATGGCTACTAACGTCAGGGTCAGCAGTTCGAAACCATCAGCTGTTCCGCGGGAGAAAGATGAGGCTATCTGCTCCCGTAAAGATTTACAGCCTCCGAAACCCTGTACAGGGTCGCTATGGGTCAGAACCGATTCCACGACACACAACCACCACTAACTATATGAGGGGGCTTTAAAAGTTCATGGAAAAATTCCATCTTTCAGTTTAATTTTTCCTATTTTTTAAATCATTCTCATATATGTATGTGTCTGTACAGCTATGGGAATCCTGGTGTGGTACTGTAGGATAAGCACTGGACCACAAGGTCAGTTTGAACTGCAAGGTTGGCGGTTCAAGTCCACCAGCCACTCCTCAGAATATCTCTAAAGAGTTGCTGTGAATTAGACTTGACTTGATAGCATTTATCTACAATTAACACTAAACAAACTAAATCGATGGCACTATACAATAATAATACTAAGCACTGACTTCTTTTCCTAGTTTAAAAGGCTAGTAATGGTTTTTTAAAATGTTGGGAACGTCTTAAAGATTACTTAATTGTAGAGTTAGACATATCTAGGCATTTTGAGTAACATACTAGAATGTGTTTTGTTTTTTCTTTCTTAATAGACACTATTGTGTAACTATCCCTGAAATTCTGCCCAAATTGCTCCTGTCTGTTAAATGGAATTCTAGAGATGAAGTAGCCCAGGTAAATGTATACTTGATATTACTGAGTAACTATTATATAAAATAATTTGATGTCACTTGAAATATTTTCCTCAGAAAGTCTTTATAAACATAAGAGATGAAGTAGACTATGTTTTCAGTTAATTTGTTATAGTGGAGAGAAATACTGTTCATGCCACCTCCACAGATAAAATTATTCAGAACCAAAAATTTTAAGTACTATTTATCTAAATGAATATTAAAGTAAAAAATTACAACTGTTTTATAGGATTCATTTGTAACTTGTCTTTGCTTTTTAAATGTGGTTTATTATCATTCTCACATGCAGATGTACTGCTTGGTAAAAGACTGGCCTCCAATCAAACCTGAACAAGCCATGGAACTTCTAGACTGTAATTACCCAGATCCTATGGTTCGAGGTTTTGCTGTTCGGTGCTTAGAAAAATACTTAACAGATGACAAACTTTCTCAGTACCTAATTCAGCTAGTGCAGGTACAACAATGTAAAGTAGTAATGTTTTGTTCTAAATGCATGCTACTTCCAAAACCCACTACATTAACTGGTTTAGTGCTTTTTAAAAAGAAAATACATTTTATTTCAAGTAGTATCTTTCTGGGGGAAAAAAAGTTATTTAATTCCAAATATACAAACACTGTTCCTGATTCATGGGGAGTTGTTTTGTTTTAATCACCTAGGTCCTGAAATACGAACAATATTTGGATAACCTGCTTGTGAGATTTTTACTTAAGAAAGCTTTGACTAATCAAAGGATTGGACATTTTTTCTTCTGGCATTTAAAGTAAGTCAGATTATTTTCACATTAAATTCTGTAGTTATGCATGACTTGATTTCTAAATGTGATGGTGGTGTTATGTGCTGTGGAGTTGGTGCCGACTCATAGTGACCCTATACAGGGTTTCCAAGGCTGTAAATCTTTATGGGAGCAGAAAGCCTCATCTTTCTCCTGTGGAACAGCTGGTAGTTTCGAACTGCTGACCTTGGTTAGCAGCCCAATGCATAACTACTACACTACCAGAGCACCTTTTTCTAAATGTATATATAAATATATTTATATTCCATATAGTATATTAAATATGTAATGCTCTTTGCCTCCTTCCTATCCATTTATTCTTCATTTTGGGGACTAATTTTTTCACATTTATATATTTGGAGCTGAGATTAATAAATAAAAAGTACTTGTGATAAACCTAAAAACTAGTTTGCTAAGTTTATATTTCTAGAAATTATCTGAAATTATTATTTTTCTTCTAAGTGTTAACTTTTAAAAGTTTCATTAATATGATTGTAACATTAATTGCATTTAGAAAACAGGTTTTCTGCTTTCTGTATTTAAAAAATGGTTATTTGTATATTCATTCAAGCCCATATCTATATACCTGCACGCGCGCATGTGTGTGTGTGTGTGTGCATCTATAAATAAAACCCTGGTGACACAACAGTTAATTGCTCAGCTGCTAACTAAAAGGTGCCAGTTCAAACCCATCCAAGCACTCTCTGGGAAAAAGACCATGCGTTCTGCTTCCAAGAGAACCATATGGTGCAATTTGATTCTGTCACATGTCAGAATTGACTCAATGACATCCAACAAAATAGATATTTTTTAATCTTTTACTAATCTCGTTTCAGATCTGAGATGCACAATAAAACAGTAAGTCAGAGGTTTGGCCTGCTTTTGGAGTCCTATTGTCGTGCTTGTGGAATGTATTTGAAGCACCTGAATAGACAAGTCGAGGCTATGGAAAAGCTCATTAATTTAACTGACATCCTCAAGCAGGAGAAGAAGGATGAAACACAAAAGGTGTGTGACTTGTTAGTTTGTTGTTGAGACTCTTTTCATTGCCATGTGGCAAGGCGGTTGTTTACTGATTTTAGTCCTTGGAATCAGGAAGATTAGGATATGGAACCAAGCTTCATTTTTTCTTAGTTGTATAATATGAGTTATAGTATTTAGACTTTTGAAATTCATTTTCCTCTGCTGTACAATGGGAATAATGCTTTCTTAATAGGATGGTTGTGAGAATTGAATTACATGAAATAAGAAATATGAGAGGCACCTGTCTCTGTCCCTGTAACATGAAAGGTGCCCAAAAAATGTTAGTTCCCTCTACTTTTCCTTCCTTTTTCTTATATAGTGTTGTTGTTGTTAAGTGCCTTTGAGTTAATGCCAACTCACAGCGACCTTTACAGGGTTTCTGAGAAGCAACTGGTGGGTTTGAATTGCTGATGTTGTGGTTCACAGCCCAGTGCTTATCCTACAACTCCACACCAGGAGTCCATTCTCTTTTATATAGCCATACAATTTTTTAAAGGATTCTGCCCCAACCTTTGTCAGTGATTACCTCTTAGTAGTGACTCTGAAAATTAGTGAAAAGAAATTAGTTTTTACTGTTAAAATTTTGAGATGGACTCATAATCACATGGTGAATATATTATACTTTTTAGTCATCTGCAGTCTGGCTTAGACTTGCAAATTTAGTACAACTGAAGAGTATGAAATAAAATTTAAATGTTTTCTCAAGACCTTTTCCTACTCCCTATCCTTCACTCGGACTCCTGATGTGGCGCAGTGGGTTAATACGCTGGACTGCAAAGTTGGTTTGAACTACAAAGTCAGTGGTTCAAGCTTACCAACTGCTCCTCGAAAATCCTATACAGGGTCACTATGGGTCAGAATCGACTCAACAGCATTTAGCAACAACAACAATCCTTCATTCATGGATCCCTGGTGGTTCAGTGGTTAAAATACTCGGCAGCCAAGCAAAAAGGTCAGTAGTTCAAACCCAACTGCCGTTGCTCAGGAGAAAGATATGTTGGCAGTCTGCTTCCATAAAGATTTCAGACTTGGAAACGCTATGAAGCAGTTCTGCTCTGTGCTCTAGGGTCCCTGTGAATCAGAATCAACTTGATGGCAATGAATTTGGTTTTTAGTTTTATCCTTCATCCAGTCCATTCACCCTGTCCTGCAGTAAAAAATGAGATTTCAGTTGCATAGAATATATGAAATAAGAATTATCGTATGAGCAACATAATTTATCTGATCTCCCTAATTGATATTTTATCCTCCTCTGATTTTTTTTCTTATACTAGAACCTGAGCATAGTGTGAAATTCATTGTAGCAAAGGTATTTTTTTTACAAGTTCTTTTCCCACCATAAAAAATTATTAAGCCTCATTAGATCTCTTCTATACCCATCAAAGAAAGGTGTGATGTTTTCTGAAAAGGCTAAAAGTCAGGTTATTAAGCTAAGATAAAGAAAGACTCTTATGTCTTTCTTCTAGAGTGAGAGTCAGCCAACTTTTTCTTAAGAGCTAGATAGTAAATATTTTAGACTTTGTGGGCAATATGTGGTCTCTGTCAACTACTCACCTCATCTATTACAGTGTAGAAAACAACCATAGACAATACCTAAGTGAACGAGCATGGCTGTGTTCCAAAACAACTAGGTTTACAAAAGCTGAGGCTGACCTCTAGGCCATAGTTGATCTACCTGCGCTCTGGAGCCCAACTTTGCTTCTGAGCTTCTCACTGGAAAGCAGATAGTACTGCTACTCTTCCTCCTTCCTGAATGATGCTGCTTACTGTGATCTGGCACCTTTCCAGCATATGGATTCAGAGACTGCACAGTGCTAAGGTCCCAGTATGTAAATGGGATTAGCAATTCATCTTCCCTTTTATGAAATCAGTGTCTAACCTTGATTTTGTTTACTTATCAGGTACAGATGAAGTTTTTAGTTGAGCAAATGAGGCGACCAGATTTCATGGATGCTCTACAGGGCTTTCTGTCTCCTCTAAACCCTGCTCACCAACTAGGAAATCTCAGGTAAGGTACTTTATTGAAGTATTTAAATAAGTACACTTTCTGCATAAAATCTTGAGAAAGGTAAAAATACCCATTATGATTAAAATGTTGTTATATATGCTTCCTTCTCTTACTTGCCTACTCTACAAAATAAGAGTAGAAAAAATTATCTTATTCAGAACAGCTTTTATTCCAGCTGAGTTTTTACTTAATTTTAACAATGAAGTTTAAAACTGTCTGTAGCAGAATTCCTGTATCATATGAGATGAAATGGAATGTATCAGCTTTAAAGCAATGTCCCAATATCTCTTAAAAATTCAAATGCTATTATATGAAAAATTTTAAAGCGTACTATCCATGTTTTCTCTATACTCACTTAGAAATTCATAAATGTTCATTGAGAAAGTTTAAAAGTTTTGTATCACTTCAGAAATCTATACTATATATTATTTTTTAAATAGAGTTGCTGAAAAAAATAGTAACAAAACTAAGGTATCTAATAAAGTTTTTAACTATTTTTAAGGCTTGAAGAGTGTCGAATTATGTCCTCTGCAAAAAGGCCACTGTGGTTGAATTGGGAGAACCCAGACATCATGTCAGAGTTACTGTTTCAGAACAATGAGATCATCTTTAAAAATGGGGACGGTAAGGCAGGGTATTAATGAGCTTTTGATGCATGAATTTAGCTATCTTTTTATACACAGGCTATTTATGAGCCATGAAGACTATTAAAAGTCATTTAAGGAAAACGCATGTGACAAAATACATACTATGAAGCTGATCTTAACCTGTACAATATGGATTGTGATTACTGAAAAGAAGTTACAAGGCTTAGAATTTTGAAGGCCTGAAATCAATCAACTGGTGACCATTCATTCATTCCTAGATATTCTATGTGTTAGGCCCTGGGGTTGTAGCTATCAGAACAAACTCCTTCCCCTCTTGGACCTTTCAATCTAATTAGGGAAAGAGGTACATTAAACAATAAGCTACCAAATTAAAATTACAGCCTGGCCCAAAGAAAAACAGTCCACTAAGGGCCCTTATAAAAGAAGGTCCTAACTCATTTAGAGAAAGGAGTCTAGAAGGAAAAGATCATGATCATTTAAAAACTTATTTTCAGCAGTGAATTCTGTTGCTTCCAATATTTTTTAACACAAATATAAATTCAACTTTAATAATTCAGAAAAGCAAGTACTAGTAACGTTTTCATTAAAAATTTGTATGCAGTACATGCGAGCTTTACCTGGCATTGTCATGCAGATGCTCTTGTGCAGACACTTTAGAAATAGCTTAGGGAATCAGGATATTACTTTCTTTTATAGATTGTTTTGAAGAGTAAATAAACATAGCTCTGTTTTCTGTTTGAAAATACTGTGATGACATTATTCCCAAGCTTGCATTTGTGGCATTGACTGATGATATTATTTGAATTTCAGATTTGCGGCAAGATATGTTAACACTTCAGATTATTCGCATAATGGAAAATATCTGGCAAAATCAAGGTCTTGATCTTCGGTAGGTAGCCAACAAGGCAGCAAAATTGATTAAATAGCTAATTTTAAAGTTCTAATCAAATCTATTATTAGTTTCTACCAACCTTTCATAGTTATCAGTATTCTCTCCAAGTTAGTTTTCTGTTATATTTCACCTTATCCTGGTCATTGTTGTGTGTAATAGTTCTTCCTTCTCCAACTTGTCTCTGCAAATCTGGAGTTGCCTCATTCAGGCAAAGACCACCCTGACTAAAGGCCTTTGCTTGTAAGTGAATATAAGATTCAACGACAACTTCAGCAACAGGGTAGATCAGTTAGAAATAGCAAGTAATACCTACAAAGGCTTATTTTGTGGGTTAATGCGCTGGACTGCAAAGTCGGTGTGAACTGCAAGATCAGCAGTTCAGTCTCACCAGCAGCTCCTTAGAAACCCTGCACAGGGTCGCTATGGGTCGGAACCGACTTGACGGCACTTAAATAGATTAAATGTAGCTTGTATACTACACACATAGGACTCAACAACTGGAAGCAGTGAAGGGATTGATGTGTGTTTACTGAAATCAGAAAACTAAACATTTCAATTAACTTTTAAAAGTCACAAAATTAAATCACTGACTTCATATTCTTAGTTCCTCATTCTTTAATTAATCCCTACTGCTCCCCAAAGATGATTAATGCTATATGAATCCAGTTTCCCTTTTTAATATGACTTCCTATGTTTTAAGACATACACCTGCCACTACCACCATGTCCCTCTAAGGAGGTAGAGTGAGTGCAAAGGAGAAGGCAAAATGAGAAAGAGTAAAGGAAAGACTTTAACCATAACTCTGGTAATTATAATGTTGTTGTTTTTAGGTGCCATCGAGTCAGTACCGACTTATAGCGACCCTGTGCACAATAGAACAAATTAGCATTATAATACTTAATATAATTATAATATGTAATAATAAATAAATGACTTGTGCAAAATATGTCTAAAATTAAACAAGACCATTGGAAATGTTGTCATTGTTAAGTGCCATCATGTGGGTTACAACTTCATACAGTGACCCTGTATTATAGGGTTTCTTCAGCTAGTGGGCTTGAACTGTCAACTTTGCAGTTAGCAATCCAATACTTATTCTACAGCACCACACCAGAACTTCTTGGAAATACTGTTAAGTGCCATCAAGTTGCTTCCGACCCATAGCAACCCTCTATAGGGTTTCCAAGGAGCAGCTGGTGATCTTGAACCATCAACCTTGCTGTTCAAACCGACTTCGCAGTCCAGCACATTAACCCACAGCTCCACAGGAATATTTAATTCTTAGAATATTTTCTAAATATCATCTTTAAATAAATTCACAGCAGCATTTTTATTTATTATTGGCAAAACTTAGATTCAGGATTATTATAAAACTGCTTGCTTTTTATAACAACTTTATATATATGGTTCTTTAAAGTCTGAGTGTATTCAATTGTTATTTAAAACAACTTTAGCTTAAGATAATGAGCAAAAGTACAATTTTAAGATTTTCTTATTTTTACTAGGGTAGATAGAGGAAAATGGTACATAAAATAAGTGATCATTAAGGTAAGGGTTTACCAGAGTAAGGATTCATGAACACAAATGACAGGAGAAATTCACAAACAGACTTATCTGTAGTGTCAGGGGCTTGAGGGGTGAGGGTTTAAGAGCATATGGACTATAAAAGAAAGCACTTAGAATTTCAAACTCTTATGTAATCCAGACTTTCTGGAGCCATGGAGGCTGGATGAATCCCTGAAGCTATTGTCCTGAAATAATCTTTAAACATTAAACTAAAAATGTCCCCTGAAGTCTTCTTAAAACCAAACAGTAATTTACTTAACTAGTAAAAAATACCCACCTTGAGCATTATGCTCCTTTAAGACCTAACCATATGAGATCACACCGATAACCGCAGCTCAGAAGATAAGATAAGAAGCTTGGGAGGCAGTGAATTTATTTAATGGAGAGGAACAACTTGGGAAAGTTGGACAAGAATGGTTGCACAATTTGAAGTATGTAATCAATGTCACTGAAATGTGTGTGTAGAAATTACTGAATTTTGCTATATGTGCTGCTGTGTATATTCTCAACAACAGCAAAAGTAAAATAAATCATAAAGGAAAAAACTCTATACAGCACAGTTCTCTGACACACATGAAGTCGTCATAAGTTAGAATGGACTCAACAGCAAATGGTTTAGTTAGTACCTTACAAAATGCTTGTTGTTGTTGTTATTGTTAAGTGCTGTTGAGTTGATTCTAGCCCATAGGGGCCCTGTATAAGGTTTCCAAGGAGAAGACGGTAAGCTTGAACCAACAACCTTGCAGTTCAAACACGACTTTGCAGTCTGACACATTAGCCCACAGCACCACACAGCATACAGTAAATGCAACATAAATGTTAGTAAATGGAAGGGGTAAAAACAAAAAGTTGACTAAGTAGAATGGTAGGCATGGAAGCTAGCCTTACAAGGAATTATATGAGATAATGTAAACTGGTGCAGAGTGTTACTCGTTGGAACTTAAGTGAAAGAAAGGTGGAAAGAATGGACAGCAGTGAATGAGAGCGACAGAAAAGGAAAACCATATGATTAGTGCCAGTTGGGATGCTTAGATGGGTTTTTTGATTTGGTTTGGTTTTTTCATTATCTATTCAAATCTTCACATCAGCACCCATAATTACATATCTTTTTTAATACTCTGTGTAATAAAGGAAGAAGTGCCTGCTGCATTCCAAAAAGCTATGACCATGTCAAGGTTTACGTGAGCTGCTTTTTTTTTCATGGAACACCACTTTTACTGAAGGCCTAGCTAGCAGACTAGCTATAGTTACTTAGACGTGGGTATTTGGCAGAAATTTTTTTGAAAATGAGTGCTTCAAAGTGTACAACAGTATTTATGATAAAATGTGTGCTTCTGAGCAAGAATTAGAATTAGAAAAATAGCAGCCATTGTGAGCATAGCAACTTCCCCCAAATTTAAAGACTTCAAATGGGATAAGTGGTAATATTTACAGTTGTGACTTTGTAAACATAGCAAAATAAGAAGTATCAAAATTTGGAAGGTCTAAATAACTCAGTGAAATAATCTTCCAAATGACAATGCAAGATGATATAAAGCCATGTATGGTTCAGAGATCCGTTTAAAGGCAACATAGACTAATGGATTTGCTGAACAATATGTAAAAATTATCAATATAGTTCAGGTTCCATATTACAACTTTGCTATCATTTGTCAGGTTTTGGAATACAAGCAGTACCTGGGTTAGGAACACCTGACTTCGGGATAACTTGCATTTGTCTTTTAATGTTATGCAAATTTGTCCTCACTTTGAATAGATTAAACCAGCTCCTGGTCACAACAAATACTTCATTACAATCCACCTTCATTTGATGCAGGTGCAGCTTTTAAATCACTGCAAAACCTTTGAGCCTTTTCTTACACTAAACCCAAAACCAAGCCCACAGCCATGGAGTCCTATTCATAGATATCCTAGAGGAACTGCTCCAAAGGGTTTCCAAGTCTGTAAATCTGTATGGAAGCAGACTGCCTCATTTTTTTTTCCCAAACAGTGGCTGGTACATTTGAACCAACCTTTCCGTAGCAGCCCAGTACTTAACCTACTGTGTCATTGGGCTTCTTTCTTGCACTAAAGTACCTGTTCTGACTTAAACTACAAGTCTAAACTTTAATAAGACACATTTTAGGAACAGATCTTCTTCTTAACCTGAGGACTGCCTATGCTATGTGCTGTCAAGTCAGTTCTGACTCAGAATGAAGCCTGTGTGGGGTTGCTAAGAAGCAACTAGTGGGTTTCAACTGCCAACCTTGTGGTTTGCTAGCCAGTGTTTGTTTATCCTACAGCACCACACCAGGAATCTATAGTATCAAAAATATCTCTTAAGTACCTTTTCTACCTACCTGTGTATGAGGCTGGGTTTTCTTTGTATACCTTAAAGCATCATATTGGATTGATTCTGAAGCAGATATAAGAATACAGTTAAGCCAGACATTGAAGACATTTGAGAAAATGTAAAACAGTGTCACCCTTCTCACTAAGTGTGTTTTGTTTTGGAAAATAATATTTTTTGTTTTATAAAATTCATTTTTGTAGTAATATTTATAAAAATATTTGTAATCACTTTGTAAATTAATCAGTCATTGTTTTTTAATTTCATATTTTTTGTTTTGATGTCTAATATCTAATGTAATTCTATAAGCAAAAGCTCCTTGTGGGATCCTCAATAATACTTTTAAGAATGTAAATGTGTCCTGAGATAAAAAATTTGAGAATTGCTGCTCTCAAGTATTATTTGGATGTCAATTTAACATCTTTCAATTCACTAATATTTTAAAAGTTATGAATATTTATAAAATTCCAGTTACTGTAGTGATTTCCTTAAAAAGGATATGCAAGCAGACTTCAAAACTTTTGTGAAAAATGAAATTAACAGATAATGGAATTTTTCCACGAGCTTTTTGAAGCCCCCTCATACAATTAGATGTTTTCCCAATTACAGGTTGGCAAATGATGGCACGTAGTTTTGAGGAATTTTCTAGGAGTACATATGTTTGTCACACTTTAATCTTCATTATTAAAATTACGTCAGAGGTGAAAAGGACCATGCATGACAAATTTACAAATAGAATTTTCATATATTTGCTTATTAAAATTTTGTAATTTTGTAATTTTTTCATTTAATCGTAATTGTCTTGCTTCTTCGTCAGGATGTTACCTTATGGCTGTCTGTCAATTGGTGACTGTGTGGGACTTATTGAGGTGGTGAGAAATTCTCACACTATTATGCAAATTCAGTGCAAAGGTGGCCTGAAAGGAGCTCTGCAGTTCAACAGCCACACATTGCACCAGTGGCTCAAAGACAAAAACAAGGGAGAGATGTGAGTGTGTGTTCTCTTCTTATGTTAATCTAGGTTTTTGTTAGATAAATCTTTCAGTGGCAGTAGCTATTTCTCATAGTTAGACCAAAGAAAATAGTTGTACTTTCACTGGGAAAAAATATGCTTAGCCTTTGAAATACTCAAGATTATTGTGTTAAAATGACCAAACTTATTTATAATTTGATAGAAATCCGGCACACTCATCTTTCATATCTAAAATGTGTTTGTTCTTACTGGTTATTCTTTTTAAAAGATAAAAGCACATTGCAAATTATTTGAGATTTATTATTTAATTGATTTGTTTTTTAAAAAATTAATTTTAATAAAATAGAAAGTATTTCACAATAATGAGAATTATGCTTTGGTCAAGGAACATCTAGAAATGTCCTTTGTTGTTGTTGTTAAGTGCCTTGGAGTCTATTCTGTCTCATAGCAACCCTAGATAGCGTTTCCAAGGAGTGGCTGGTGGGTTTGAACCACCAACTTTATTGTTAGCAGTCTAGTGCTATCCTACAGTGCCACACCAATACTCCAGAAATTTCCTTAGAAACCCTTGAAACTTTCAGAATTAGTTATAATTACGTCTCTCTTCCCTTAATGTCAGTGATTGTTCTCATTGTTTAGATAGACACTTTTGACTGTCTATTCTTAATATCCATTCTATGTATCCACAGTACTCATAAGGTATTAATTCATGTGTTCTTTGTAGATATGATGCAGCCATTGACTTGTTTACACGTTCCTGTGCTGGATACTGTGTCGCTACCTTCATTTTGGGAATTGGAGATCGTCACAATAGTAACATCATGGTTAAAGATGATGGACAAGTAATGACAGCTTTCTCTTTTTAAATATTTTGTTCTCAAACTAAATTTATCAATTCAGGGTATTGCATTTCTATATGTGTCAAGCTATAACAATTTCCTCTTTTTGAAAGCTGTTTCACATAGATTTTGGACACTTTTTGGATCACAAGAAGAAAAAATTTGGTTATAAACGAGAACGTGTGCCATTTGTTTTGACACAAGATTTCTTAATAGTCATCAGTAAAGGAGCCCAAGAATGCACAAAAACAAGAGAATTTGAAAGGTAATCTCAAGAAACCAAAAAGCATAAAATAGAGGATTCTTGATATTATCAGAATCAGTTGGTATTTTTCATGCACTTTGAAATAAGTAGATGTTATGTTACTGTTTTAGCACAAACTGAATATTTTGCTTGCTTATTTAAATGCTATAAAAGAAATGGAAAGGAAAACAATTTAATGTATGGAATTACTTAAAGACCTAAAGAGAAAGTGATCCTTAAGCTTTGTAATTCATCAAAAGTTATTATTTACTGCTGTTTAAATAATTGGTTTCCACCTTTCCAATGTTAACAAGTTACGTGTAGTGCTTACAGAAACATTGTCTAGTCATATAATTTGAGAAAAATGTGTCAACTGTAATTGCCATATTTAGTCAATTATTCTTTTACCTTCTGTTATTTCAGGTCTGTCATAGACCTTAACAGTACCAAAAAGAAAAAAAGGAAAAAAAAAAACTTTTATAAAACTTTGTTTTATCTGTAACTAATTCCTGGCCCTAAACCCTAAAGCTTGAGTATAAACCAGTCCATATAGTTAAAAAATAATTATCAAACCTCTAATATGCAAGGCATTTTCCTAGCAGTAAACCACAGGACTTAACCCTTATGGATTTCACATTCTAGCAAGGTAAAGGGAATCAAAAGTTGTCAGCCAGGAGAGAAGAGATGTACTATTTTTTTTAAAAAAATAGGTTTGTAAGACCTTTCTAATGATGTAACAGTTGCACAGAGACCTGAAGATCTTGCCGTTCGTTATCTTCAGATAATGCCATTTGCTCCATATCAATTAAACTGTTTTTATTGCTTACAGGTTTCAGGAGATGTGTTACAAGGCTTATCTAGCTATTCGGCAGCATGCCAATCTCTTCATAAATCTTTTTTCAATGATGCTTGGCTCTGGAATGCCAGAACTACAGTCTTTTGATGATATTGCATACATCCGAAAGACTCTAGCCTTAGATAAAACTGAGCAAGAGGCTTTGGAGTATTTCATGAAGCAAATGAATGATGCACATCATGGTGGCTGGACAACAAAAATGGATTGGATCTTCCACACAATTAAGCAGCATGCTTTGAACTGAAGTGAGAACTGAGAAACAGAAAGCTCGATTGCTGGATTCTACACTGCACTGTTAATAACTATCAACAGGCAGAGACTGGTTGCATAGTAATTGCACAATCCATGAACGCATTAAAATTTACAGCAAGAACAACAAAAAAAAATATTATGTAATTTAAATAATGAAATGCAAACAGGGTTTGATAGCACTAAACTAGTTCATTTCAAAATTAAGCTTTAGAATAATGCGCAATTTCATGTAATGCCTTAAGTCCAAAAAGGTAAACTTTGAAGATTGTTTGTATCCTTTTTTAAAAAACAAAACAAAAAAAAATCCCCAAAATATATAGAAATGATGGAGAAGGAATAAGAATGATGTTCTTTTTTGTCTTGCAAATGTTTTATGTTTTGAAATGTGGATGCCACAAAAGTCTCTTATTACATTAGGTCCAAGTAAGCTGGGAGTTGAGGTTAAATTACATACCATTAGAAAAGAATGAAAAATTTTTATTTTTCCATGGCTGTTCGATTTATAGTTTGAAGTCAGTTTTTTTAATTCTTGTTTACTGAAGAAAAATACTGGTGTGAAAGAGTCTCTTAAGATTTTACCAGAGAGTTTTTCTTCTTAATATAAAATCAAACCTTTCGGTAATTTGGGATCTTCTCTGCAAAGTTTTGGAAACAGTCACAAATAAGACCTCTTATAAGGTATTTTGGCAGGAGTTTTTTTTTTGACAGTATTTACTAGCACCTGATCTTTTTTTCCCCAGGGAAATTCTGGGCTCCCACCAAAAAAAAAAAAAAAAAAAAAATTCACCACATAAAAAGAATGAGCAGAAATAGTTCTTGCTCTAGAAATGTACAGTATTCACCTTAGGTTGATTTTCTGTCTCTCTTTCTCTCTGTCTACTTTTGCAATTGAACTGAATTCATTTTTCATGCATGTTTTCCAGAAAATGGAAGTATTAATGTTATTAAAAAGATTATTTTTTTTATAAAAGGCTATTTATATTATAGAAACTATCATTAATATATATTCTTTATTTACATGATCTGTCCCATAGTCATGCATTATTTTGCACCCCAAATTTTTTATTGTTCATGATACTATGATCAACTTTTAGTCTGTGAGTGAGGCTCAGGCTCTGTTCGATTCACATCAATGACAAGTGTATACTAAGTAAGGGAATAGATTAAACTACATCCTCTTTCCTTTTCTTTCTGTTTTCACTTTTAACTAAGCCCATCCTCCAACCTCTTCTGTCATTGAGAATGTTTCAATCATATGAAATTAATTACCACTATTTAAATTATCTTCCTGATTGCTTCAACCCCTCTACTGAGGTTTCCTCATGAGTAGTACTTTATAGTATGGGGGTATAGAAACCAGGAACCGTTGACTTTTTGTAAGCTATTTATCTCAATAATAAAAGTAGATCTTACAGTATCTTAAGATTATGTCCAACTTCCATGAGGTCAGAGCTCACTCTCCAACTTTCTTAAATTGCATTTGAGCACAGGATATATTCTTAAACATTGTGAAAAACATTAACCCAAGATGTAGGGGTTAATGTTAGTCTTCACTCTAGAATCTGTTCTTTTACTCAGTATTTGTAATGAATGATTTATGCCCTAGGGAATAGCTTTAGCAAATGTCCAGATGCCAGACCAAAAAAATGTGCAATAATTAGTTTTCTAGATTAGGCATATTATTGGAGGACAACATTATAAAGAGTGCCCATTGTATTCTCTAGTAACTTAGCATCACTTTTTAAATATTCATTTGTGAAATTAGTGACCTACAATAGAAGTCTTGAATATTGAACAAGGGACTCTAATACAAATAATGCTTAATATTTTATTCTTTCAGAACCCTTAAATGGCATAATTGTTGGAGATTTAGGTACTTCACTAAAGCATGTATATAATGTTTCCAACAAGAAAAATAAATTTGAAAATTAGGGGAATTAATTTACTTCTGTAAACTGTCTTAGAATAAATAGTTAAGAAGAATTTAAGCTGTTTTAAGCAGGAAACCAGATAGGTTCTTTTGCAGATATAGATGATTTAATAGCTTATTACAACTTCATAATTAACTTTTTTGTCTTTTAGAAATGTAGTTAATACATACTAACGTCCCAGTCTTTCTTTTTTATATCAGGGATGATTATAGGAAAAGTCAGTGAAATGGTTCACATCTAAAGCTTTGATGGTGGAAGGAGGAAACTGAGCAGTAAACTGTGTTTTACCCAAGTGCCAAAAAAGCTTTGAGTCTACATGCATAAAACCCAGATCATTTTGCATTTTCACATCAGTCCAGATAGTATTTGTCTGATTTTTTTCCTTTTCCCTGTGACCTCTCCATTTAAAACACAAGCCACATATACCATTTCATAATTTTCATTGATTTTCTAGGGTTATTATAACCAAATCAATGCTATTTGAAGAAATATAGACAAACTCTACAAAGAGTATCAATTAAATGATTCAAAGCAAAGTAAATTTTAAACAAATCTAAGCAGAGTTTAAGCAAACAACATTAAAAATAAGGAAAGAGGTACAGAAAGCAAAGAACCAAAGTTGGATTGAATGCTAAGTGGGTGGCTGGGATCTATTGTAAGACAGTGATTAACATAGCTGATTCTGGTACTTTAGTATCCCAGATGAGTCCCTGTGGATTGGTCCATTCTTGAGGCTAACCATCCTCCTCCTTTTCAGTGGTATAACCAACTATTGGCTCTAAAATTTCATCAGATCACTAGAGAATATATTTTCTTCAGTGGTTACTTTGATAAAACAAGGAAAGCAAATTTAAAGAAGAAAAAATTAATTTTAGAGACATTCTAACAAGAAATAATCAACTGTTTGAAAATCGTGCTTTAACTTTTTAGCCATATTCTTGGCTACAGAAAAACATTTATTTTGAAGATTTTTAGATTGCTGTTAGTTTGAAATCTGTTTTAATCATATTGTGGAATCTGGTTCATATATATATATATATATATATATATATATATATATATAATGTTTTTAATTGGATTTTTTTAAAGAATGAAATTTGGTTGCTATTTTATGATAGAACCTAAGCTTCCTATGGGTTCTTAGTGTCCTGTGTACAACTTAGTGTCAGAATAATCAACTTTGAGGTTTTTCCCTTCTAATCTGCTTTATATTATAAGCCCATTAGGAAACGGGAACCTGGTGAATATATAATGAATTGTAAAATATTTTAATGTGTAACTTTTTCAACTGTGAAACTATGACTATTGGTTTTTTGTTTTTTGATGAAAACAGCTGCTGATAAAAGTATTTTGTGTAAAGTGTAGTTTTTATTAATAAGGAAAATGATTATTAGAATGTATGCATCCACTTGGATTTTATTTTTAATGGATTGGGAATTTTCACATAGATAAAACACAGTCCATCTGTATTATTTTTTCCATCAAAAATTGAATGATTTGGCATTACATAAAAAAATATGAGCAGGCCACATTTCAAAGGCACTGTAGAAATTTCAGAGCACATAAACTTGGATGTGTTTATGATTTTGTAAATCCATTTAATACCTGTTCTGATCAATACAGTCCATGCTTACCAACTTTTTGAAGAAATTTAATTCCCAGCATTATTTTAAAGCCAGCATGTTAACTTTCCTGAATATAATAAGTTCCTCTTGTTTATAGATCTATACATACTGCAAACCTGGGCTGGACCCACATATTCAGAATCCACTTAAAAAATTATTTTGATGTCCAAGACATCAAGAAAATATTTCAGCTTAGAAACAATATTGTGGTGTTGGTAGACTGTGGTGCTTCTACTATTTCAAAACAACGTTCATAATTCAGACATTTTTGAGAAGAGAGGAATATGGAAGGGAGGGGGTAGAAGAGGGGGGAGTTCTTTTAATGACTCCCATTCCTCATATTCTGCTCTGAGGGGTCACTGTATAAGAGAAGGCTAAAACTTCCAAGAGTCTATTTTGCATACCAAAAGGGAATGAACTCTTCATCAAAGTTGGGATTTTGAAGACTGATAGACTGATGAAAAAAATTCAGCATTGACAGGATCCTAAGATAATAATTCTTGGTGGCAAAACAATACAGCTGGGCTGTTTTTAAAAATACAAACAAAACCATTTTTATTTTTGAATTATTACATTAAAAATTATAAATGTATCTTATGTGCCATGGCCTGGGAAGCCTTTTTTCTTTTCTCTAAAAAAATCATTTCACTTTCTGATATTATGAGGATTATATTAAGTGGATGGAACACCAGTGATGATACAATTGGATTGTTAACTCTGCCTCAGAAGGCTTTAGGTGCTAAAACAGATAGATAATGAGGGGGAAAAATAGAGAAGTTGCAATTCAGTACTTGAGGCTCTGACATTACAAAGATTTTGCAGAGCACAATATTTTGGATCTATAAAGTCAGATTGGCACATCTTGCATTTTAATGGCATTTGAGACATTAGCAATTTATTTTGACTCCAGCCTTTTGGAAAAGACCCTGATACCAGGTCTTGAATTTCATGTTTAAAATTAATTTTGTCCTCTTTGCTGCATTGTCAGTGCATTTTGTGTGTGTGTGTGTGTGTTTGCACATGTCTGTTTATATACACACTGTTTGATACTCCCCTAGTCAAGAGGTATCTTTATAAAAAGATGTAGGCACCAAATGTGTAAAATTCAGATGAGTTTAGAAACCTACTAAGGAGTTTCCCAAGTTGGGATGTTAATCCTGAAATAAGTTTATTTCCTGCAAATATTCCACTTAAAAGATTTGCTTATTTTTATTAGTACCAATTTTTACTAGTACCACACCATTCTTCCTGCTTGGTTTTGTGAATATTTAGCTTAAGATATGAGTGTGAGCTGTAGGCTATTACCTGACTTAATTTTTACACAGCTCCATGTGAGAACTTTAGTGTGGAGGGGAGGGAGGCAGGGGAATTAAAAACTCAGTCCATTGTACATCTAGTGTACTTAGGTAACTGATTTTCACTACCAACAATACCATTCTTCATGTTGCTAAATACAGAAACGGGTCCCAGTGAATTTGGTAAGCCAATTGAATCTCTGCATTTAACCACAACATCATTTAATCTGTCACTAAAATGATTGTGTGGTTATGCTAAAGGCCATGGATATTTTTAAGTAAGTCTTACTTTTGTTAATCCTGGGTTAGGGAGGCAGAAAACCGTTATTATTTTATATTTCTTAGAACTTTTAATAAGACTAAACTCTGTAGTTTTAGTATGAATTTCCAAATCTATTGATTTCGTAAGAGCCCCTTTCCAAATTTAAATTCCTAAAAGTGGTTGGAGAGTTTGACCTTCATCCAATTTATAGAAATCCCTTGGCTGTAAAACCTGTTTCAGTTGCTGTCAATGAATTCAGTGTGATCAGTCCTTGAACTTGGGAAGTCTGGGTTGAATAAAATCTAAAAGGATATTTGTTTGAAACATAACATAAGCACTATTAGTATCTTGGGGAATGTGATTTCTAAAAGAAGACTATTAGTGCATCAAAAATTTAGTGTGGAAGCTTCAAAAAGGAGCTCCCACACCCATTTTTAATTGTAGTAAATTGATTTCTCTTTTGTCATTCAATTAGTTGAAGTCCTGTGGTATCCTGCACTCATCTGAAAAAAAAATTTTTTTAATGTTCTTTCAATGATGCCCAAAAAGTACTAGACACAGCAAGATGCATGTGTTACTGTATTAAGAATATACAATAATCCAGTGTCACTAAACTGAAGACCTCTTCCCAGTCTTGCTGTTCCTAGCAAGAACTGTGATCTATGACTGCATTTTCTGTCTGCTCACCAGAAACTGTTAATGTCTGCTTTTCTTTAACTTTGCAGTCTGTAACAACACGCTGTTTATTAAAAAAGGAAAAAAAAAATACTTGTGTCCAAACAATCCTTAGTGTACTTATAGCTATTTAAAAAAAAAAAAAAAAGAATAGAGGGATCATTCTGTTTTGCCAGTTCTTTTGAATACTTTAAAGCAAACCATTGTTCAAATTTAGCTGCATTTGAGTTCTTATCAATAATGGCTAAGAACACTCGATTCAAAAACTGAAGCTAATTTTTCTGCACCAGTCTGGAGAAATGTACAGTGCCATCCTTTAAAATATAAAAGTAGCAAGGTTATATAGGCTTGTTATTTTAGGTAGAACTATACTTCAAAAAGCTCCTGAAAAAAGTCCACTATCTTTGAATTCCATTTTTCCGTAATCTTTTTTAGCCCCTGTGTGTATATATACACTTTCTTTTTTCAAATTTAATTGAAGACCAAAACTAAAAAGAAGTGAAACTAAAGGCAAACTGGTACTGCATTCAGTTACTATAAACCTTGAGAAAGTAAATCTGGGCTTTTGATCAGCATTACTTAACGGGCATCTTCTAAGCAGTTAAGCAAATCCTTACTTCAATTACATGTATTTACCAAATGGTTTGGGTGATTTTAAATTCCTATTCTAAATTGACTTTGCTCTCCAGCACAATTTGTGTTTCCTGAGAAGACCCAAGCAGACTCTAGCAGAATGGAAGGCAGTGATCATTGAAACACATAGTTGAGGTTTCAACTTACTGGTTTGGAATTGTTTGGATTTTAAAATCCCAAGAAATGCACATTGTTTACATGGGCATCGAACTTTTATGGATTGGAATAGATGTGGCCTTTAACAAAAACTACAGAATCTCAATTTGCAGCATGTCTTAAAATGTATACAAATGCATTTTTTTATTATTAAAGAAGTCTTTGGTTTACAAAATATTTGAACACGATCTTTTAAACAGTAAATTCTGGGCCTTAAATATACATCATATTAAGCCAAAGGAACAGGTAAATTCTCTCCTAACCCAGACCCTATACCAATGAAAAGTGAATAGACTGAATATGACTGTTTTCATGAGTTTTTATCTACTAATAATCGAAGTGTGGTGCTGTAGGATATATATTGGACTGCTAAACGCAGTATCAGAGGTTCAGACCTACCAGCTGCTCTTCCAAAACCATATACAGAGTTGCTATGAGTCGCAACCAACTCCATAGCACTTAAAAACAACAAAACTTGTGCCAGAAACTAAGCTAGGTGTTTCACATATCCTACTTCATCTATTCCTTAAAATAATCTCTTGGAAGAAGAGAACCTCAGACAGTTTCCCTGACTTGCCCAAGGATACTTAGCTACATAGTTGTATTGTAGACTACAAGCCCAAGTAAGTCCCACTACTCTTAAGCACATGTTCTCTCCAGTCCAAACTAGACAAGAGAAACATGTTTGTTAGTCAAGTCAGATTTGCTGTATTGTTCAGTTTATTTTGCAATGTGTGATTTGAAATTGTTAAAAACCATTAAACCAACTTAGAAATTTCTGGCTTGATTATGTGTTACATGTAAAAGTTGCTTCTGAAATCTCATTCTTTCTACTGACCTTGATTTAAAGTTTTTTGGTAAAATTTTGCTAACCACAAGGCTGGTGGTTCAAACCCACCAGCAGCTCCTTGGAAATCCTTAAAAAAGGGTTGCTATGAGTCAGAACTGACTTGACAGCATTTATCAACAACAGTAAAATTTTAAAGACACTTTGAGGCACATTGGAAATCAGAACAAACTCTGCTTTTGACTCATATATTACAGCATATATTCAGTTTAACCCAGAAAGTACTTGTTGAGAAGGTCATGTGACATTCAGTATTTAATAACCATGGTAGCTTCATTAAAGTACACACTACTGTTGACTATCCATGTGGGACTTTTCTACAATGAATTATCTGAGTTGGATATTAATTTCTACTGTTGCTCTGCTACTTCATAGTATATTACTAGCCATTTCTCCCACCCCCACCAGAATATGCATAAAAAAGAAAATGAGCTTATCAAAAGCATAATTAACTGGAAGAAAAATGTTGCTGAAAGAAAAATTACATGGTGGATGGCAAGGTTAAATATAAGTAACTCTAAACTTGGTCAATCTTCTAGGCAATGACTTTCCTTTATCATGAATGGTGAAGAAAACAAATTATAATAGCTACAGCAGGACTACGTTTTCTTAAATTATCTAGCAGATTTTTATCTCCCTATATAGTTATTGTTCACTAAGAATTTTTTATGAGAAATATTTTAATGCAAACTACATTGATAGAATCAGGCTGGTATGGGTTAGCACTCAATAGGTTAGATGCCCTCACCATTTTTTTTCCACATCACAAGATTCTAGGTAGAGGTAAAATTAAATGAAACAATTACTCTGAGCTCATTTTGCCATGCAAGAACAGCAAAAAGGCTTCTTTTGACTCATGTGGAGAGAGATTTGTAGTAGAAAGGCGGTATGTTTACACGTATACATAGAAATAGTAGAAACATAATGAGGCTTTTTCAATTTTTTCCCACATGATACTTTAATTACCCTCTACATGATTAGTTTGCTAGAAGGCATAATTCGGTTCTCAATTACAGAAATGGTACCTAAAGGATGAGACTTTAATTTGGCCACCATCTTAGGATTTTTCTGCTCCTCACACTGCACAGTGGGAATTGATGCTGTTCTGTATAGGGCATTTTGCCACTTACCTCATCTCTGACTGCAGTGCTGTATTTCTCACACAGTAGTGACAGATGCTGTGTCAATCTCACCATACCAACAATCAGGCCACCACCTAGCAGAGTCAACGAAGGCCAAAACAAACTATGGAAGATAATCATTTGGTCATACTTCTTTATGAGAATGACATCTTCAGTTTGGCTGTCTGGACTGTAGAAGCATGAAAAGGGGGTCCCATTTTTGTGATCGAAGAATTCCTTTATGTCCAAAGCACTGTTGTGCAAATCATTCCTATCTCGGTGGCACTTAGGTGTGTAAAAGCACTAGAAATAGTAAAGAGAAAGAAAGATAGAGGTACTATCACCAATGCCAAGCAATAAAACAACTATTTTAATTATGAAATAGCTTCAATTTGAAGCTGTTAGTGGAGAATTTCGATCTTAAAGGAGTCCCTGAGTAGTGCAAACAGTTAACAACCTTGGCTGCTAACCAAAAGGTTGAAGGCTCAAGTCCAGCCAGACAACATCTTGGACAAAAATCCTAATGATCTACTGCTGAGAAATCAGACATTAAAAACCCTATGGAACACAATTCTACTCTGACACATCTGGGTCGCCATGAGTCAGAGTCAACCCATGGCAACTGATTTTGTTTTCAATTTCAGAAGGTGAATAAAATCTGTTACATAACTCATGGAGAAGAGTTCACAGGAGGGCACAGAGTGAAATGGCCATTCCCAGGTGTTAAACAAGGATATGAAATCCTGGTGTGGTATTGTAGGATAAGCACTGGACTGCTGACTGTAAGGCTGGTGGTTCAAACCTACCACCTGCTCCTTGGAAACCCTATACGAGGTCACTGAGTCGGAACTAATTCAATGGCAAAAAAATTCAGCATTGACAGTATCCTAAGACAATAATTCTTGGTGGCAAAACAATACAGCTGGGCTGTTTTAAAAAATACAAACAAAACCATTTTTATTTTTGAATTATTACATTAAAAATTATAAATGTATCTTATGTGCCATGGCCTGGGAAGCCTTTTTTCTTTTCTCTAAAAAAATTATTTGTAGGAAGGAATTCTTACAATATGATACCATTGCAGAAGAGGCAGCATCCAACATCCTAAAGACCATGGTTCATCCTCAAGTTGTCTTCTGGGGCAGTAAACCAATGAATCCACTTGTCCGTTTCAGAAATATTTATTGAGCCCTACTTGGTGCTTTCAACACTGATCAATGCCCCTCATATCTTTGCTTCAATCTCCTGTAGTAATTTTTTTTCCTAAAGGAGAGCACAGTGAAGTTTTTTGTCCTATACCATAGGAGATAGTCCTACTTGGAGTGTTCCAGGGGAGCAAAACCAATAGAGAAGAAGATAACTCTATCAACTAATGATTTTTTTTCAAACACAACTTGAGATATAGTCTCATGTCTGTTAGGCACTATGCCAAGGGCCTACAAAAATATTTGAAAGCTTAAAAATTATCACATCCAAATTAGAAAAATGGCAGTCATCAGATTGAGATTAATGTCTAATTGTTGTTGTTGTTAAGTGCCATTGAGTCAGTTCCTACTAATAGCAACCCTGCATAGGGTATCCAAGGAGCGACTGGCGAGTTTGAACCATCAACCTTGTGATTCAAACAGATCTGGCGGTCAAGTGTTTTATCCCATAACACTACATTAAAAACACCAAAATGTAACGTCGACTAACCTGACTTAACTTTTATTGTTGTTGTTGAGTACCACTGAGTCAGTTCTGACTCATATCGACACTGCATAGGTTTTCTGAGAGGAAGCTGGTACATTTGAACCACCAACCTAGTGGTTAGCAGGCTAGTGCTTATCCTACAGTCTATGTTGTTGTCATTAAGTGCCATCGAGTTAGTTTTGACTCAGCCTGCATAGTTTTTTGAGGAGCAGCTGGTAGATGTGAACCACCAACCTCATGGTTAGTAGTCAAGTGCTTATCATACAGTGCCACACCAAGATTCCATATAGTTGGGTATAAACACAAACTTTAAAGCTTATGAGTCAACTTAGTAACTTACTAGAAATAAAAAGTTAAATAATCCCTTCAATTTCTTTAATAGGAAAACTTGTTTGATTTAAGGTAGGTTGTGAGTACATGTCAACATTTTGAATGGGACTTCCAAAAGTAAGGTTGCCTACAAATAATTCCGCTCATTGACTCCACCTGTAAATGCCAGGGGCAGATTTATGCAATTGGACTAATTCCTTTCCTTTCCCATTTTTTCTTCAAGAATGCTTTTAACTTCATTTACCTTGTTTTGACTACTGACATAATATTCACCATGATTAACTATCTCTATCATTAGAGAAAACCCTAGGTGCTGCACCCTCCTAAGGACAGCTTGGCATGGGAGGGTTGCTATAATTTTGGCCCTTTAATGACACGAACTTCACATTACCTTGGAATTGATCTGTACAGCCTCTTCATTATAATGGAGAAGAGCTTTCTGACCTGAGTGGGTGAGGTTCACAAACACCTGGAGACACGGGTACTTCCCCTGACCTCGGCAGTCCACACCACAGGTGAAATCACAATCCAGCCAGTCGTCCATGATATGTGTGTGGATAATCGTGCAGTTGGATTCTTCTCTCTGAGTACTTTAATGTGAAAAAATAAATGTTCTTCACGTTGTAGAAAATTTAACTCTCTATTTCAAATGTCGTAGCCTGAAGCCTTTGTCTATTTCAAGGTTTAGAGTTTTTGTTTTGCTTTGTTTTTTGGTAGGACCTTAACAGAGCAGGGAGAATGGAGGACATTAAGATGGGATAAACTGCAGCAAATTGCAAAATTCTATCTCAATTCCGATCCTACTGGTCTATTTTTCACTTCACCAACCCTTACACCAATGGTTTTTGAACTTTAGAATCAACCAAGAAATTTACTAAAATGTGGAGTTCAGGGCTTCATTCCCGGAGATTCTGATTCAGCAGGTCTGACTTGAGCACCAAAAACCTGTATGTTTAACAAGCAGCACCAAGTATATCAGATGCAGGTATTTGGAAAACTATATACTTCAAGCAAAATTACCCTAGTAACCACCCAGACTGTCACTGGGAAATTTCACCATTCCTCATCTCAAAGACACACCCATTGGCTTGATCTGATTACAATATGCCTTTAGAAGGAGTCCAACTTCAGTGCCCTTAATCAAGGTAGCCTATAGAAGTGTTAGTAACAAGGTATGTTTCCATGCACTCACTCTACTTCCAAAGAGGCAAATAGATACCATATATGTAATTTCATTAGAATACTTATCATGTTATTACCATCAATAAAAATCAGTCATTGAGGTCAATTGGCAGAACATAGTCCACAAAGACAAAGTTCTACATCCTATTTGGTGAATAGTGTCTGGAACTTAAAAACTCATGCGCAGTCATCTGAGATGCAACTATTGGTCTCTCTATATGCAGAAGAAAGAAGAGTGATGAACACTGAAGATGCTTGGAATAAACTAGTCCCATAGACTAATAAAACCGGAACATCAGTCACCATGACTCTGAGACCAAAAGAATTAGATGGTGCCCAGCTACCACTACCAGCAGCTCTGAATAGGATCATATTAGAAGGGCCCTGATAGAGTGGGAGCAAACGTGGAACAAATTTTGAAATCATTTTTTTTAACAAACAAACAGGCTTACTGGTCAGAAAGAGCCTGGAGGAACCTGAGACTGTGGACCTCAGCCATCCTTCAGGTCTGAAACAGAACTCACTTTCGTGATAATTTTCAGCTAAGCCATAGATAGCTATATAAGGGGACAACAACACTAGTAAGGTGTGCTTACCATTCAAGATCAAAATGGCCACAATTACCTAAGGACAAAGTTGAGAAGGGAGGGACAGTGGGTAGAATGGAAATAAGAACCACAGGGGAAAAGTGAAGTAACTATTGGTACAGAAAGAAGGTTGCAATCACTGAGATGAAATAAAGTATATGGTTTGTCAACTATAAAACTGATGATCTTCGCTGTAAAACTTCACTCAATTCACAATAAAAAGTTTCAAAACTAAACAAATAAAAACCAGTCATTGAAAACCCTGAGGCACACAGGTCTGCTCTGATACATGGGGCTGCTATGAGTTGGAATTGATACCATAGTAACTGGTTTAGAATCCCTCTTGAAGTAAAGAACTACATCTTACTAAGCATTATGTTCCTCAAAGCATAAAGCACAATGCCTTTCACATAGTAGACACCCAATGTTTGTTGAATTAAATTTTAGTTTAATTAACATTCCTTGAGGATTTGCACAAATGCTACGTAAACAGACATTCCCAGATGCCATGAAAAGTGACAGAACACTTGCCCGTGAACACCTGTGTAGGGGAAAGGACATAACCAGGGAACATCAAAAAAAAGTTTGTGGAAAAATTCCATCTTGTCACAAAAGTTTTGAAGTCCCCTCATCTGTATATGAAAAAATTTAGGGAACAAGTCCTAGATAAAAGTGAAAATGAGAGTGCGGAGGAATGCTTTGTACTGACTATACTGGACCAGTTCTTCATACACCTTCACACACACACACACATACGTGGGTCCCTGTGTTTTTCTCTGGGTCTTCAAAAACAAATTTGATTAGCAATTTCTAAACTCTGAATGTTTGGAAAGCATTGCTGAGCTAGATTCATACCAAACTCTAATTAAGTAGCCAGTTTCTTTATTAATATAGCAAACTTGAGGTCCACTGTGCAGTTTAGCATGACATTATGGACCAGGGCACAAAAATCACTTAATGGTACCTAAAAAGAATAAAACATTGAGCAAGTGAAAATGCAAAAATAGAAAACAAGGTTCCATTGCAGATGAAACACTCGCCTGATTAGGGCAGAGGCTTTTCCCTACTGGTTTGTTTTTCTACCAAATTAATTAATTTACTTCTTTAGACTAAACTGGAAAAAAAAAATCAAATCCACTGCCTTCACATTGATTCTGACTCATGTTGTTGTTGTTGTGAAATGCTGTCGAGTCAATTCTGACCCATAGCGACCCTGTATAGGGTTTCCGAGGAGCAGCTAGTGAGCTTGAACCACTGACCTTGCAGTTTCAAACGACTTTGCATTAGCCCACAGCACCACACCAGGACTCCTATGCTGACTCATAGTGACCCTAAATAAGGTTTCCAATACTGGAAATATTTACAGGAGCAGATAGCCTCATCTTTCTCCCTCAGAGCTACTGGTGTATTTGAACCACCAACCTTGGGGTTGCAGTCTAGTGCTTATACTACATCCTCACCAGGACTCCTTTTGATTGCTGTTGTTAAGTGCCAGCTCATATCAGTTCTGACTCATATCAACCCTATGCACAATTCTTTAGATTTGTTGTTTGTCTGTTGTTAAATGCTGTTGAGTCAGTTCCAACTCATAGCAACTCTCTTTAAGGTTTCCGAGGAATGGCTGGTGACTTTGAACTACCAACCTTGCAGTTTAAACCAAACTGACCTTATGGTCAAGTACTTATCTTGAAATGATATTTTATACAATTGCCTGTTTACCTATGTGAGAACTGTGTTAAGCGCCTAACCAAGTACTGAACTATGATTTGAATCATCCTTGAAGATTTTAGGAAGCTCTGGGGCAAGTGTGGAGTCCTGGTGTGGCACTGTGGGTTAATGCGCTGGACTGCAAAGTCTATTTGAACCTCAAGGTCAACAGTTCCTTCAAGCCCACCAGCTGCTCCTCAGAATCCTGATACAGGGTCGCTACAGGATGGAACCAACTTGATGGCACTTAACAACAACAGGGAAAGTGTGGTGCATTAAGGGCTCAAAAATGAGCATATTCTTCCAGTCATATTCAGTGTGCATTTGTCTATTGTTGTTGTTGTTCCAATAAGCAGTGGTGATTTTGAACAGCCAGTCTTATTATTAGCAGCTTATCCTACAGCACCATAACAGGAGTCCATATAGCTGTGATGAAATCCACCATTTGATTGAAACAAATACCCAAGCCATCAAACTAATCTTTTATGGAGTAAAAGTACTCTTATAGTTTCACAAATTCATATGGCAAGAATAAGTAGAATCCCCACTGAGTAGTTTCCCTCTTTCCAGATGGATCTGGTGAAAGGAGATGGGGGGTGACAATGATAGGAATTTATGACTCAATTGTGAATAATTGTCAGCAGGATTCATTGCGATTGTCATAACTGTAATTGTAGGAGATGTGTAACTAAAAGGAGGGAGTAGGTAATCTTTCATTTCAGGAACAGAGAATCCCAAGATCATCAAGAAGGAAGAGCATGAATGGAGCCTGAGATCTCTTCCTAGAAAAGGGACTACAGCAAACACAGTGGCTGTGTGCCTACGGGCAGGAGGCTTACCTTTTGGACATTTAAATGAATATAAAATTTTTTGTTGTGCAATTGTACATCAAATATTTTTTTGTCTTGGTCATTTGTGAACTATACAATGTAAATGGGGAGCAACAGGGAGGAAGTAGAATAAATGTTGCAGGTGGTGGTGGTGGTTATGTGCCATGGAGTCAGTTCCAAATCATAGCGACCCTGTGCAGGGTTTCTGAGGCTGTAAATCTTTACGGGAGCAGAAAGCCTCATCTTTCTCCCACGGAGCAGCTGATAGTTTCAAACTGCTG